GAAAAAACACTTAGACCCATGAGAGCCACGCTGAGTTCTAAAACGCATTTCCAAAAGGGTTGAGGATGAAGGACCGATTTCAATATTGATGTTCAGGAAGCAACCCACACATACGAGAGGCAAACTCAAATCCTGCATTAGATAATATTCAGTAGCCCACTCATATATGTACACACATTATTTGGTTATGCTGCGTTAGCAGTGATGCACAGCACAAGTCACAAACGAACTGGACACTCATCAGCAACACTGCCTTAAATAATAAAATATATAATCGATGACGTTTCAGGCAATGGCCCTTTTTCATAGCCATTGCTCAAAACATCGTCAATTTATGTTTTTTTCTTGGAAGGCAATGTTGGTGTGACGAGTGTTGAGGATTTCTTTTGTAACTTATTTGCCTAACATACTTGCAAATTAAAAGGCGCACAGCATCGGCTCGCTCTCAAAGAGAGAGAACGACTCGGGTGGCGCGAGTGGAGGGAACCTCGGACAAGCGTGGCGAGTCAAAGATAGACTTGCTGTATACTTCTAGATGTGAAGCTTTCGTGACTGCAAGGATTCATAATCTTTGGTTTTATCGGTAAAGTCACGTAGGTTTAAAGGTTTAAAACAGTCTGCATCAGCAGTAGGTCATGCTTTCCCACCCGATGACGGACGCTTGTGTTGCGCCCGAAACGTCGGGATTTAATTTAGTTGTTTTCATTCATTTTATTTTTTGCTGCTTACTGTCTCTCACAGGCACCACCTCGCTATCCCACAGGTGGGTTTCCGACACTAAACATACCGAGGGCAAGTGATCCACCAGCCACACTTCTGCAACTGGCAATTCATGATTTGAAGCTTTCGTGACTGCATCAGGTGATGATTGGACGCTTGTGTTGCGCCCAAAACGTCGTGATGTATTTTCTTTCATACCGTGACTTTACCGAAAGAACAAAGAGTATGGCAATGTATGCTTCAAATATTCACAATTTAGCATGACAGACGGTATGGCATACGCGGGGGTGGTATGGCCAGGACCGAACCTTGGGTCTCCTGTGATAAAAGTGATGATCATAATCATAGTCCTCAGCACCTCATTTCCTTCAGAAGTGTCAATGCACAACTTCGAAACACGTTGCAGATACACAAACATGGCTTTAAAAGTCCATTAAGACTGCAACCACTACAACTACCAATTGTGTAGTGTATGGGCAAGTGCTGTTAGTGAGCACCTATTAGGGAACACGAAGGGGTGGGTATCGGGGACAACAGCATGCAAGCCATGCCTGCTACTTGTACAGTGGTAAGCACAACAAGCTAAGGTCCCAATGACACGAATTCGAATCCTATGGATGCACATTGTCAATTGTGGCAATTCCTATCTGTATACAGCAAGTCCCTGGGTGAGCTTGGCTTTTAATGAGTAACTGGTGTGGTATGTAAACATCGCAAGCGGGGAGACAGGTAGCTAAGAGAGGAGCTCTCGTTACCTCCCCCCCCTTCAGTGACACGTGTACAAGGCCGAGTTAATCTCAGGGAGGCTCGAAACAAAGTCAGATACCACTCGTCACTGGTGTGCATGGCATGGAATTTAACTCAGGTTGTAGGGGTTGTAACACAAGAGTCCTTAACACTACCACATCACCGCTCCTCACACAAATAAATAAACACACCCACACATGGCAGTATTCATACAAATCCACACACGAGCACCCACACATTTATACATGAATGCAAAACGTATACTGTCAACAGTTTAAGTAGTCAGCAATTACGCAATGCCCATTGCATCAACAATGGTCTATTGCACTCAACATTCATTAAAATGCAATTCAATCGCAAGACACGCATCTGTTTATATAATATAAGCGAGGAAGTCTCGCATAATCAGATTTATATGAATCATTCATTAAAAACAGGGAGCGTACATCACATTGATCAAATGTCAACGTAAATGAAAAACTGTCTTACTCCAATTAGGCTAAAACTGTCAATAAATGTATTCATAAAAAACAAAACAGCTTTTAAAAATGCTGCACTGAACTTTAACTGTCTGGGTCCCCCCCCCAATATTATCAATGTCCTCTAAAACAATTGTTTCATTTATTTCTGAGCCTGCCCACAAAAATCTCACCCAAGAATGTAAATCATTCTCGAATATCCCAGAACATAGTGTTCAGTTTTACTGCATTCGTGAATGAAAGTTAGAATACACTCGTAAGCAGAGCATATACAGAGCATATACAAAGCGTGACAGCTGTATAGCCTGGTCGTCATACCACATGCCACCAAGTCCCTTTGTTCAGTGTTGACAATTCGATTCCTGCTATATTTTTCAGTAATTTATTCTGATAATTAAGTGATGATCAAAGCATTCCGATGTCTATAAAAGAAAACTTTGAATCAATGTCATTGAAATTAGCACATTATACGATCCTACAATTATATTTTCCTGACATTTTGTGATATCTACTTTTCTAGAATTATGTTATTTCTACTCAAATAAGCAATAGGTCAACACTTATATCTGAGTGCATGTAAAACAAATCCCCTGCCCCATACCTATCGTAGGGGCCAGCCACTGCATAAGACAACCACTGTTTACTCTTTGGTTCTGTCGGTAAAGTCACGTAGAAAGAAAATACATTAAATAATAGAATACGACGTTTCGATTGCAACACAAGCAGCCGTCATCAGGTAGAACTAAATTTTAGAGAGAGACAAAACACAGACACGGAGACACACAGACACACAAGCAGAGAGAGACAACACAGAGACACACAGAGAGAGACACAACATCGACACAGAGACCCAATGCCTCTGTGTCGGGGGGGGGGGGGGGGCAGAGAGAGAGGTGGGTCTGCTGGAGCAGAGAAATTAGCATGTCAATGAAAGAGTTGTGTGGAAATCCACCCCGAAGCGGCCGGGGAAGAGAAAGAGCGAATGGACCTATGAGAGCCAGGTAAATTTTTGAGAGAGAAATAGGCAGTTTGAGAAAACAAACTTAGCAAAATATTGGAAATGTAATGCAATGCAACGCAGAGTCGGCTAACACACAGTTAACGCATAGCCTGGTTGATTACATTCTCCAAAGATTGCTAAATTAGAGCTGTGTGGAAATACACCAAATTGCTAATTTAGCAATCTTCGGGGTGGATTTTCTACACAGCTCTCATTGACATGCTAATAATTTCTCTGCTCTAGCAGACCCACCTCTCTCTCTGCCCCCCTCTCCTCTCTCTATTTAAGGCCACGACACAGAGGCATTGGGTCTCTGTGTCTATGTTGTGTGTCTCTCTCTGCTTGTGTCTGTCTGTGTCTCCGTGTCTGTGTTTTGTCTCTCAAATTTAGTTCTACCTGATGACGACTGTTTATGTTGCAATCGAAACGTCGTATTCTATTTAATTCATTTTCTTTCTACGTGACTTTACCGAAAGAACCAAAGAGTAATTCCTGCAGTCACGAAAGCTTCAAATAAAGTTTAAACCACTGTTTACTTCCCACAATGTGATGCATATTATTAGCAACTCCAGGATAGGCTAATTAAACATGCCACAACTCCAATTACGACTATAACACTCGAACCGCAGAAGCTACCCGCCTACCCAGCAGGATAAACACAGTCATAACTACGAGGGGTGTAAAGATGCATCGATTCATCAATCGTTGTCCATGCTTAAGGCTCAAGATACATGTATCGAATTGTGTCGACAAGAGCTAGCATCTTTCCATGAATCCATAAGTGTGCAAAATAAATGCTGAGCAAAACAAAAACATCACAATTTAGCAACAATAGAAACGAGACGGCCAAAATGAAAGCGAAAACAATTGATTATTGAGTGGAATTGCTGCCTTCATAGGTGACATTACAATATGAATCGTTACACCACGAATAATTCCTTGCAATCTCTTAGCAGTCAACAGTGCTCTTCGGTGTTCTATATTGAGTGGTTCACCACTGGATTAGGCTTCAATGAAACGCCAAACGGGTTCATCAAGTGTCGGAAAGTAGATGGTCTCACCTCGTCACCAATTACTGAAATGTAATTTAAATAAAAATATTATATTAGCTCGTTCAAATAATATTTATTATTGAGGTCCGATTACTATTCATATCATTTTGATTGAAATGTGACAAATGCCTTTTTTACAGCGTACATAAAGAGGCACTAGTGTGGATAAAATCACGGTTGAAGTGACTTCAGAATATAGGGCCATTATCTGGGACGAGTTCATTTCACTGCAAGGCATTGTGGTGCCAGTGATCAGGGTGCTTAAGTGACAGCCAGAAGGTTTCGTGTTCAAATGCAAGACGTGCAATACATTTGAACGACAAATATCATACGAGGCTGATTTAAAAGTCTGTGTCCTAACAGAGAAATTGATGATTGACCACACAAAAGAAATATTTTCATCGTTGTGGGGAATCCGGGTAAGAAAACATAAGCAGGAAATACGTCTACTTCCCATATCTCTTCATCCAGATAAAAAAAAACAAGTATTGTAAGTTACATCTACTCAAAGTATGATTTACACATTCCATTAAGCCACATGGGCTTCTGGGAGTACGACATTTTCAGCAGCATTGATTCAATACAGCAAAATCTGGACCCGTTTTGACAGTGTCTCATCAGCAGTCAAGCTTATGATTATTTAACGTTACGTATTTAACAATTTAACGAAGAGGGTCCGTGCCTATACATATCTGGCAATTCATCAGTATTAGTTCAAGCAAGTCTGACTTGCTGACATGACGATGAATTCTGAAACCGGTCCAGTTTGCTTGTTAAACCAACTCTCTTGAAATAATGCACTTGCAGAAATCTGTTGAGATGAGTTCACTTTTTTACGTGGAGGAATAGACACGAGAAGGACGCTTCTTGTCTACGTAATTATCTTATTTTTGTACCATCGAAGTTCAATGCACTTTGGTCAACTAACGTTCCAAGACTTTTTACTCCGCAGCCAGAATAATTGTCTCACTTCTCAAGAAAATACTTCATAACACACATCACTTGTCACTCGAAGAATTCTCTTCCACGCAATTTATTTTACTCAAGACAACATATGGAAGTCACGAGCAGGCAGAACTGGTCCGGGTTTAATCCAGATATTCCTGTATTTTATCTGGTTTTAGTTGGGCGTGCCGACACGTGACCACATTAGTGTGCACTTTGGTTCCAAGTCAGTTGAAGACGGACGCTTGTGTTGCGACCGAAACGTCGTGTTTTCTTTTGCTATTTTTTTCTATCTACGTGACTTTACCGAAAGAACCAGAGAGTATGGATTCCTGCAGTCACGAAAGCTTCAAATCAAGACACATTAGTGTGCTTTGCAGATGAAGGTTGGATGATCAGTTTTCGTAAAACTGTCAAATTTGCTACGTGGAACAAGTATGGCAGTACAAAAGGCCGGGTCTCGAAACCATCTGTCCAGAACTTCGAGCGCTATCCTTTGAGTGGCAGATTTGTGTCAGAAAGGTGTCCACGTGTTTAAAAAATAAAATTTGACGTGACTATCCTCTGTGTGTGTGGGTTTTCTTCAGGTGTCCTGGTTTTATCCCACATGCAAAACGCGAGATCAAAAGGAATTGGCAATAAGTATAACCAGTAAAAACAAAGCTTTTCACTATAAATCCTTTATATGCGTGGCGGCTAGAGTCCTCTCGTCCTCTGGCTTGAGATGGCTGCCAACTATGGGTCAGATGATTGCATTGCACCATTAAGCAATTGGTAATTAAATATAATATTTTTGTCCTAAAAAGTGTAAAATTTTGGAAAAAAATTTTCACGCACATTAATTGTCACGCACGAGTCTGTATGGAAAATGTCAGCTCGATTGGATCACGGGAAGTGGGTTAAAAAACGACCGAAAGATTTGCACGGTCCTAAGCAAGCAAGCGAACTTAATATAAAGGATTTAATAAAGGATTTAAAAATATATTCGCCTGTGGAAGATGCGGGGATCGATCCCGCGACCTTTGGCATGGGAAGCGAGGGCGCTACCAACTGCGCTACTCCGCCACGGCCTGTGGAGGGGTTACGCTCTGGGCTCCTACACTGTGACGTTCAGCCAAAGCCATGAATGAGTTCTATTTGAATAAATGTAAAATAATTTTTTTTGCCTAAAAAGTGTAAAATTTAGGAAAAAATTTTTCACAAACATTGTCTCGCACGAGTCTGTGTGCAAAATGTCAGCTTGATTGAATCACGGGAAGTGGGTTAAAAAACGACCGAAAGATTTGCACGGTCCTAAGCAAGCAAGCGAACTTAATATAAAGGATTTAAAAACATCCCAATGCAAGGTCTCCTAAAAAAAGTCTTAGGATTTAGGCTTTTGATTTAAAGCTTTCGTGACTGCAGGGATTCATATTCTTGGTTCTTTCGGTAAAGTCACGTAGAAGGGAAACATGATTTAGGCTTTGTTAAAAAATTGAGTCATAATTTTCTGGCTTTTCCAAATTTTTTTCAATTTTCCAATACTTGAAATTTTGATTATTTTCGTCACCCGTGAAAATTATGGCATTCATTTACTCCGATACAATGTTCATTATTTAACGTATAATTTAACTGAACAGTCAATTTTAGTTCATAATAATCATAAAAACATGTACATTATTCAGAAAACCATCATGAGTCTCAAGATTTTTTTCAAGGAGGATCCGACAATGTGATGTTTGGCCAATGCCATAACCGTTTATAGCATGTTGGAAGAAATCATTAAACCCAATAAAACCAGAAGTAGGTCTCAAATCTCTATACAGATGGCTTTTATCCATTGCTGTACTGCCATCTCCTGGCCACCTCACAGCCCAATCCAAACCCTTGGCTCAACCTGATTTGTCGAGATCAGTCACATTCAGGGTGATTATATCGGAATGACCAAATCAAAAAATTTGCTTGCAGACAAATCACCACCGTTCATTCCATGCCACTTTTCATTTCTTCTACACAACGGTGCAGACCTTTCAATTTCAATCGCCCTCATATTTCACACAAACCAGAGCGAGCGAGCGAGCGAGCGAGCACCCTCCCCTGCATTTCAACCCAGCCCCAAAGGGCCACTGCCGGCTCCGACGCACAATTTGCCGAGCAACCACACTGCGACACCGCCCGCCGCGCTCAGGGCAAGCACGGCGAGCAGGCGGACGGGCAGGTGGTGGAGCGAGGCGTCGAGCAGAGTGTGCAGCCGCACCACCTGCCGCCGTGTCGCCTCTCGCTCGCCGCAGTTGTCGATCACGTGGTCGGCGAGCAGGCGCTTCTGGTCCAGCGGAATCTGAGCTCGCACGCGCAGCTCGGCCTCGTGCCGCGACAGCGAGTTCCTCTGCATCAGGCGAGAGAGCTGGCTCTCGGGGTCACTGCGCCCGGGGCACAACGGGCGGAGAGAGAGAGACGACGTTGCGCATGAGACTGCTGCTACTTCATTCAAGGTGCTTCGTTTATTCAGGGAAGCCTCAATGAGTGAAAGTGGTTTGCTGCTTAAACGAACATTGGGTGTGTGGGAAATCATCTCTGTGGGTATTTCTGAGTCAGTGATAGAATTTACAGAATTTTATGTTGGCGACCAGTCTCACCGTAACACAAATACTGTTAATTTCACGAAAAAGCAGCTTCTGAATATGAAACGGTACTCGTTCAAAATGGCATTTCTAGATCAATGGTGGAAAGTCCTCATTCCCATGGCAGTAACTAGTTTGTTTATAGGTGCACCATTGTTAGATTTCGACAAATTGAGTGGCTCTCTGTAAATCCCAGCAGAATGATAAGCTGAGTTGATACCCGATTGGGATTTAAACTTGCAACTTTTCTGATTGAAAAATGGGTATTAATAACTGTAGCATCACCCAATAAACTGAATTATTTCAATTAATTCTGCCCCAAATTGCATTGTGGAGACACTTTTTATTTACTTTGAACATCGTTAATCATAAACAACATTGTCTCCACCCTCAAAGAAATGCTAAGTGGTGCTGCTCACTGCTGTTGCTAGCCATGAGCCAGCATGTGACATTTCACATTCCTATGGCATGGTTGAGTCTCTCCATCGGACACATGCCGTTAACACAACGGTGCTCATTTTATTGACACCAGTGGGGAGGATAGGCAGAGGTGACTCCCAGCTGGGAGTTGAACCAGTAAACTTCCAAATGCGAGTCCAATGCTCTGACCGCAGCACCACCTCGCCAGTTAGTTTCTGCAAGAGACGTGTCGTACTGCTGACTGATTGATACCAAGTCACGTCCACAGGCACAACAGCAAGCTATATTGGTCACCTTGGTGTCTGAAATTCAGCAGCATGGATCAATAGCACCACACACTGGTGGTTGTATGAAAGTGCTCATACGAGCAATGGAGTCTGCTTACTGGCAACATTTAAATAGTATGTATAACTTCCTTCACACCGTATGTATCCTAATGTGGTAAAAAGTCGACATTTGCATGGTGCGCCCAAGCCTATCCTTACGATGGTCCCATTGATGACTATCACTATGCGCCCAATAGCAGCTGTTAAATAAGTATAACCCGTAAAAACAAAGTTTTTCACTTTAAATCCTTTATATGCGTGGTGGCTAGAGTCCTCTCGTCCTCTGGCTTGAGAAGGCTGCCACCTATGGGTCAGATGATTGTCTGCCAGTATTAAGCAATTGGTAATTAAATATTTAATTTGTTTTCCCTAAACAGTGTAAAATTTTGGAGAAAAAAATTTCACGAACATTTATTGTCTCGCACAACGAGTCTGTGTGCAAAATGTCAGCTCGATTGGATCACGGGAAGTGGGTTAAAGAACGACCGAAAGATTTGCACGGTCGTAAGCAAGCAAGCACGCAAGCATGCAAGCAAGCAAGCAAGCGAACTTAATATAAAGGATTTAAAAAGCCTGCATTTGTGACCGATATACTATCCACTAGATTGTAGTTCATTTTGGCAGAGCTTAATTGGAATTTGTGCAAATAATATCAGAAGAAAAGTAAACGATTTACAACAAATGTAATAATAATAATCCTCTATTCAAGAAATCCTCCGATTAAAGATGTACATGGCTTGTTTGCAATTAAGAAATCGCAGTGACACACTTGCAACTCATTTTTTTAGAACTGCTTTTTGCATTTAGTTTGTTGTCCTTCCCCCGCACCTCCGGTTAGCACGGTTAGCTACGTACGATGCAAAAGAAGTTCAACATACACACGATGTATAGGCATTGTATATGGAGGACATTTACTTGTTTCGACATATACAGCTGTATAAAGACTGTTGTAGAAAGTGCTAAGAGGATTATATCACGTGCATCAGTCACCCACCTTTGTTTCACCCACTACATCACGTATGCCTTAGCGATTGCATATTCACGCAAAGTATTCGTTTGAATATTTGTCTAATTATTGATCGTAAGGCATTGACAGAAAACAGACAGCTGGGAGAAAATTCACGTCTAGGAGGGACTATCATAAAACATTACTATAAGTAAATTAATACTGGTAGTGAATAATTACAGAGGGCACTGCTGTTGTGTTATACTCACCAGTAGACCACAATGGAGTGCTTGATGAATCTGCTCATCGTCTTATTCTCGAAAAGCAGAGGGACATCAAGGATCACATAGTGGTATCCTGAAAGGGTGGACACACACACCGTGTAGAAGGGATGCCAGTTACACATGTACACCCCAAGACTGTTAGCCGAGGGTAATAAGTGAAGTGTAGGGGTGCACTGAAAGAGCATCTTTTGTTCTTCAGACGAAAACTGAATACATTATTCTGTTCATCAGCATTTAAAGCTGAGTATTAACTTGCTTAAAATAATTTTTGTCAGTGGAGCCAACCCGAGTTGGAAGTAACAACAAAATATAAACTACACTTTTTACTTTACCAGGTAAGGCCCACTGAGCTATATAGCTCGTTTTCATAAGTGACCTGGCCACAAATAATAGCTCAACGAAGTGGCTTATCATGTGTACATTATCGTAGCCAAATCTTCTAAACCCATGTTTCTAAATGTGGAGGGAAAAAACCAGAGGACCCGGAGAAAAATCCACGTGACCACGGGGAGCGAGAACATGCAAACTCCAAATATGCAGGTGCCAGGGTCGGGATCGAATCCTCCTGCATACCAGGGTTAGTACATTGCTATAATCAGATTGTCAAAGCCAGCTCTTGGAATTCTTGCATGATTACAATATCTTCATTGTGCAATTGGATTAGTGTTCCTTTGAATCAACCAGGTGATTCCATGTCATTACTAATTTTATAACAAAAACTAAAAAAACGTGGTAATGGTCAATTTCTCGGCACCAAACCAGCATCATCTGCACATTCAAAGTCCCACACATTCATCTCACTGGTATTCATACCTGGGTTTTCTGCTGTGCTAACCCTACACACAGTGTTTGGGCATAGTCAAGCACAACATTACACTAAATAGGAGACAACATACAACTCTAGATGACACCTGTCCCAACATAAAACCATTTTGATGTTTCCCCTTCTTGGTGAAGAGGCACATTGCTATATTTCAGATTGTTGATGGGCAATGGAAACCACGTTGGAAGAGAAGAGAGATAAGTCAAAGTGTAAAGAAAAGGGTATTTGAGGTGTCACTGACATCCGTATTACAGTATGGATGAAAGAGCTGGAACCCATGCAGCTCTAATATATTTGATGGCATCAGAGCATCGGTGATGGATGCTCAGACTTTTACCGCAAGAAAGGATAAGCAATGCAGAAGCCCAGAACAGAACACGGCAGGTAATTTGTATATATAATAGGGAATAAGTATAACCCGTAAAAACAAAGTTTTTCACTATAAATCCTTTATATGCGTGGCGGCTAGAGTCATCTCGTCCTCTGGCTTGAGATGGCTGCCACCTATGGGTCAGATGATTGTCTGCCAGTATTAAGCAATTGGTAATTAAATATTTAATTTGTTTTCCCTAAACAGTGTAAAATTTTTGCATTTTTTTTCACGAACATTAATTGTCTCGCACAACGAGTCTGTGTGCAAAATGTCAGCTCGATTGGATCACGGGAAGTGGGTTAAAAAACGACCGAAAGATTTGCACGGTCGTAAGCAAGCAAGCAAGCACGCAAGCACGCAAGCACGCAAGCAAGCAAGCAAGCGAACTTAATATAAAGGATTTAAAAATGGCTGAGCTGGTTGGGACATGTGCGGTATGGGGGAGGGTCGATGACCGAGTTAGGCATTGGAGTGGTCTCCAAGAGGACATCCAGTAAGGGGAAGGCTTAGGACAAGTAGGTAGGATCCAGTTACAGCAGATCGTGGAGGTCACATGTCTACTATGCAGCAGTTGCAGGATCTGGTAGGAGGCTTGCAAAGCATTGGTGATATGTGGTGACATCGATAGCTTTGGCTATGATGACATTAATTCAAAGATAGGAGGAGTTAATGCATATGTATGAAGGTTAAAATGCCTACAACCATAGCATAGTGTTATTTCCCAGAATAAATAAACCCAATGTAATTTATTGCAAGTAAATGGTACGTCAATAAAACTTCTACGTTAATACAACTCCTAAATATGGGCTAAAAGTCTACCTCTAATCCTTTAAATAATAACTATATCAAGAACTGATCACTTTTCAAACAGTAATTGTCCCAAAACTATGTGTATATACATATTCCTCGTTTAACATGGTAGATGCGTTACTGATAAGCACTGCATTAAGAGAAAACACGTTAAGCATAAACAATTGTCCCAATCATACGTCGTCTTACTGTGTGGCAGTATACCAATAGGACCAATGTTGACTTCCTAAAGAACATGACTCACTTCCTTCGGAATGATGGGCTGACACAACCCCCGACTTTGGTCTGAATTCACTTCCTGCTTGCGAGTCTCACACTCGGATCACAACGCCGGCGATCTTAGCTAGAGACATTTTACTTAATATTGATAAGTAAATGCAATGGGAATGCAACCAAACTTGGTGAAGCTCTCACCACGCACAAAGTGCCACAGGATTTGCTTGAGCATATGCCGTCGGATGTCGGGGTGCGTAATGGAGTTGAGCAGTCGGCGTTTCTGTGGCTCAGCAAAGATGATGGCACCGAGCTTGTCGCGATTGAGACGTCCATCTGAATGCAGCACCTCCGCTCCAAAGAATTCAACAATTTTCTTCAACGCTGGCCGGCCTGGCTCCACAACTACAAACACACGTGCATGACATCACCAAGCGACAATCAATCAGTTAATTAACAAAAAAATTAAGGGCCAGTTATGGCAGTGGTTTAAAAGCACAAGCCAAACTAAAAAGACTGCAACGACTTTCGGTAACACCGACTCATTAGAAAAAAATAAACACACGGGGCTGCTGATTCGAAAAAAGTTAGTGTCTGAAATATGTTTGATTTATTTTGGGATATTCTAGTTCTGTTATCTGACCAAGCAAGGCTGTGACCAAATGCACCACTCAATAATAGGTTGTCGTCTAAAATTCAAGGTTCAAATAGGCCTAGCATCGGTCCTGGGAGGCTCAGGACTAGGTCATATAACACTTGCAACTCATTTTAGCTATTGCCTGGTATCAAACTCGGGTGGTCGAAGCGCAATAATCACCATTGCTGTCCATTTGAATATAAATTAGGTATTTCTGTGGTTCAAAGCTGCCACAATGGATATGTATGTATGTTGAACATCTTTTTTAGCTTAGCCAACCGTGCTAATCGGAGGATGCAGGGGAAGGACAAGAAACTGTGCACAAAAAGCAGTTCGATAGAAGAAAAAAAATTCCAATCTGAATTTAAAGGTGCATATGGGCGCCACCTAGTGCTCATTTTGCCGAGGTACTTTGGGAATGTTTGATTGGTACTCCTGGACACATTTTACATGGGAATAGATGAACAGATTCTGATTAAATTTACCAAGACGAGCAATTTCATCGGCGTCGATGACGGGGCATCCCAGCTCTCGGAAGATTGAGGCGACGGTGCTCTTCCCAGACGCAATGCCTCCCGTGAGACCGACCAGAAACATCGCGCACCACAGCAGGGAAACAGGGCTGCACCATGCACCAGCACTCAACTCTGCAAAGACAAATATCCCCCATATAGTATTAACAAACTGTTGGGGCAAGAGCTGTTAGCGAGCACCTATGGAGGCTGGCACGGCAGACGAGGGAGTGGGTGGCCAGCTCCATGCCCGACCGCCTTTTTCTCTCCATTGTCGATGTTTACACACCGCACCAGGTACTCATTTGAGGCTAGGGGGGTGCTCGGTTCCAGTTCAGATAATCGTCACTGGTGTTGTGTTTACATTCTGGTAAATGGAACATCTCGGCACCACAACAGAGAACCCGGGCTAGCACCAGCATCCAATGTCGACACGCACATCCATACACAACACAGCAGTGCATTGACTTTGTTTCTCTGTGGCTGAATATGCATGCTCTGCCTGGAGATGCTCAACCCACAGTAAACATGTCGACACCGCCCTAAATGACACGTGCAGAATCATATCAGGGTGCCTGAGAGCCACCCGTGTTCCCTGCCTATATGCACGGGCATAGCGCCCCTAACATCAGGAGGAGGTTAGCAGGTGACCACGACCGGCAAGTCATAAAGTGGGACGTCCGTCATCCGCTACGTGGCCATGAGCCAGCACCACCGTCGTCTGTCATAGAGAAACAGCTTCTAGTCCTCCACCCCGTACGACTGACCACATCACCGGAATCTGCAAGAACTTCCCTCTGCCAAAAAGAACGGGAAAAATCAGGCGACAAAAACTGCTGAATGAAGTCGGCGAAAAAACATCCCCAGTGAGGAGCTCGCACCTGGCTCCAATTCCAAATGGCTCACATGGCGGAGCCTAAACAGACTGAGAGTGGGTTTCGGCAGATGCAACTCTCTCATGAAATCATGGGGCTTCTGCGCAAACCGAACACTGTGCTTGTCAGGAGAAGCAAACCATAGGTCATCTCCTGAGATTCCCTGCAGCACTGCAAAGCACTCCTCAATATTTGGTAATACTAACACTTGAAGCGGTGGCCTGTACAGAATATTAGGGAAATGGCCATATAGGTTGGAAAGGAGACACGATGAAGATGGAAAAGTGCATTGACATGTCTGCTCATTCTTGATTTGAAGCTTTCGTGACTGCAGGAATCCATACACTTTGGTTCTTTCGGTAAAGTCACGTATGTATAACATAAAATAAATCACGTTTTGGGCGCAACACAAGCGTCCGTCATCTATCTTACAGTTACATGCTAATTTCTCACATTAACATCACTAGCCACGGCCACTTCTTTATGACCCTTGAGCTACACCCATTTCAAACCATTTAAAAGTCTGCCTCAGCAGCAGACCATGCTTTCCCACCTGATGACGGACGCTTGTGTTGCGCCCGAAACGTCGTGATTTATTTTATACCTACATGACTTTGCCGAAAGAACCAAAGAGTTGTGTGTGCTCATGGCAACCGCCTCTTGTGTTTACATTCTGGCGAATGGAACATCTCGGCACCACGGCAGGGGACCCGGGCAACACCGAACACTCAAACTCTACACACAGATCCCTACACAACACAGCACAGCAGCAGTGCACTGACATTATGTTCTTATGGCAACCACCTCTTGTGTTTACATTCTGGCGAATGGAACATCTCGGCACCACAGGCAGGGGACCCGTGCAGTACCGAACACTCAAACTCTACACACACATTTCCTACACAACATAGCACAGCAGTGCATTGAGAGATTTTTGTTTGACATTTTAGGTCAGCGGTCGGGAACCTATGGCTCGCGAGCCATATATGGCTCTTCTGGTGACGGCATATGGCTCCCAGACAATTTTGAGTTGAAAAAAAAAATCAGTTTGGAACTGATTTTAAAATACTTGTGATATTGCTTAATAATACTGTGTCATTTTAAAGTAAACAGAAATTAGTTTTGAAGATAAATTTCACAGGGTCACGCCTGCACGAAGCTCAACCTCACCACGTACGAACCAGACTACAAGGCCATCAGCAAAACCACGCAGCACCAGAAGTTGCATTAAAAGTAATACACATTTAATTTCTTATACGTTAAAAATACTATATGGCTCTCAATGCAATATATTAAGAAATATTTGGCTTTTATGGCTCTCCCAGTCAAAAAGGTTCCCGACCCCTGGTTTAGGTGAACGCAGAGTCGTAATTTGCTTGCTCACGCCACGGTTTGGAGAGAGACTCCAACCACGGGGAGCTCTAGAGAGGGCATCTTGGTCTACTCTTCCACGCCGGGTCAGACGTCTTGGAAGGAAGAGGCCTGTGAGCACCCACACTTTGACTCCACCACACCACAACCTGCCAATAATGGGACTGATGTGTTACACATTTGGGGGGTGCATCTTCTTGGTTCTTTCGGTAAAGTCACGTAGAATGGAAATAATAAAACAATACAAATAAAACATAATAAAATAATTCCCACGACGTTTCGGCCACAACGCAAGCAGCCGTCCTCAGGTGAAGAACAGGTCTGTCAGAAAGACAGCGTCTGAAATCGAAATTTGGGGGGTGATTAAATAAAAACTTGCGCGCATTCTTTAAACTGCCTACCCCCCCCCCAAAATCGACCCGAACCGTGGCAGCTCTCACATCATAACAACGTAACCACACGGAATCAAAATCAGAATATCTACTCACACTGGAGGAATCCGATGAGCTCGCAAGCTCTTCCACACCCCACACAGACAAGACGCTGCTGTTGCGTGTTCGCTTTGCGTCGGCCGCGCGGGTTTAGTTCGCAATTCGCAAGCGCTTCAATCATTCAGACGGATCACCGAATGCAAAAGAACTCGTGTTTATATTGCAATGAACGTGCCAAGCACAGCAACAATACGCTCGTCAACTGACCGTAGGCGCAGAGAGGCGATCACCAACGGGGTCAGTGTTTGTGAGGCGCCCTGTGATGACGCCGGGTACACAACCGCCATATTGCTAAGGGATACGCAGACATGTTGGTAAGGGGTACACAGACATATTGGTAAGGGGCACGCACACATATTGGTAAGGGTACACAGACATATTGCTAAGGGATACGCAGACATATTGGTAAGGGGCACGCAGACATATTGGTAAAGGATACGCAGACATATTGGTAAGGGGTACGCAGACATGTTGGTAAGGGGCACGCACACATATTGGTAAGGGTACACAGACATATTGCTAAGGGATACGCAGACATATTGGTAAGGGGCACGCAGACATATTGGTAAAGGATACGCAGACATATTGGTAAGGGGTACGCAGACATTGGTAAGGAGTACACAGACATATTGGTAAGGGGTACGCAGACATGTTGGTAAGGGGCACATAGACATATTGGTAAGGGATACGCAGACATTTTGTTAAGGGACACGCAGACATATTGGCAAGGGATGCACAGAAATAGTGTAAGGAATGCACAGACAGTGTAAGAGGTACACAGACATATTGGTAAGAGATGCACATCAATATTGGTAAGGGATACGCAGACATATTGGTAAGGGGTACACAGACATGTTTGTAAGGCATACGCAGACATATTGCTAAGGGATACGCAGACATATTGCTAAGGGATACGCAGACATATTGGTAAGGGGTACACAGACATGTTTGTAAGGGATACGCAGACATATTTCTAAGGGATACGCAGACATATTGCTAAGGGATACGCAGACATATTGGTAAGGGGTACACAGACATGTTTGTAAGGGATACGCAGACATATTGCTAAGGGATACGCAGACATATTGCTAAGGGATACGCAGACATATTGGTAAGGGGTACACAGACATGTTTGTAAGGGATACGCAGACATATTGCTAAGGGATACGCAGACATATTGCTAAGGGATACGCAGACATATTGGTAAGGGGTACACAGACATGTTTGTAAGGGATACGCAGACATATTGCTAAGGGATACGCAGACATATTGCTAAGGGATACGCAGACATATTGGTAAGGGGTACACAGACATGTTTGTAAGGGATACGCAGACATATTGGTAAGGGGTACACAGACATGTTTGTAAGGGATACGCAGACATATTGCTAAGGGACATACTGACAACGGAAGATGACCGCTCGTAAGTGACGTCATCACGATTCCTCCCCGCCTCGCTTCGCTTCCCCGAGTAAGATGGCCGCCACTTGCGAGTGGGCACGCACCGCGCACTTCCCCCGCCGTGTTCGGTGTCGGGAAAGTTTTAAACATTTCCGATTGTTAATGTCATTGTCAACGTTATGGAGCCTCATAAACATCACCAGCAGCAGCCCCATTGCTTCAATCGACCTAAATACCGTGAGGGGAACCGGCCCAGGGCCGTGAAGGTAAATACAAACGCGAAGGGCCATTGACCGAAACGTCGCCTGTTATACATTAAGGCCGCGATGTTATTCACAAATGTTTTGTTGTCGTTAATTGTGGCTTGTGGAGCACTGCCAACGCAGCAGCGGTATCGCATTTAACCGCGGGATTGGTGACGACAGTAACACGTTGCGAGAAGGTAACATTGGTTGGCCTGTCTGTGGATGTACTGGCGCCCGCCATATGAATGCGGAATTTCCACGGCTGACGCCGCAGCGTTGCTCATTTTGAGTAGCGAAACACGTCGCATTTTATAATTCTTACACTCGAATGTGCTATATTGGCTTCGACTTATATGTGAGGAAAGTACTGAAACATTTCCCTGCCTGTTTTCCCCACGTACAGCAAATACACGCCAGTAGCAGATACATGCCGCGTGCTGCCCGCCATAGTAATGTGTAATTTCCACCACCGATCGATTGCTCAGTGAGCCGGGAGACACTTTCACTCCCCAGCATTGTTGTACAGTACTACGAGATGATTTAGTGCACTTGAATGGAAGGCAATTCCTTCCCCACCTCCCCTCGATGTGGATTGAATTGATAGATTTTAAGCTACGGATTCACGCGGTTTTTTGCCATTCATCCCTCACTTGACGTCTCCCCCGCAGCCACGTTGTGCAATTCTTCGGCAAGTGGAGCAAAACGTCGGACTCTAGAGCGTGTTGTTCGGCAGACAAAAGTCAATTGTCCGAGCTGGGGCCCTGGCGAGTTACTGGTCTGAGAGTGATAGAGACACGCACGGTACACGCAGGCAGACACGGAGAGACACGGAGAGGCAAATAGAAGCGGAGAAAGATACAGAAATAGTCCCGGAAAGGAACAGATGTGAAGAGATGCAGGCATGCAGAGATGGGAGAGATGCGGTGAGACACATTCAGAGCCCAGGGGGAGAGATGCGCACGGATGATCGGCATGGAGGAAGAAGACACGGGGTACAAGAAACAACACAGACAAGAATACAGACAAAACATATTCTTGGTTCTTTCGGTAAAGTCACGTAGAAGGGAAATAACACAATGCAAATAAAACATAATAAAATTCTCACGACGTTTCGGTCACAACGCAAGCAGCCGTCCTCAGGTAATTAGGACGCTGTCTTTCCGACAGCTCTGTTCTTCAGTCACGAAAGCTTTAAATCGAAATAGACAAAACACTTTTACTGTGAGGTGCTTTCAAAAAGTGGGTCCGCATTGCACATGTTTGAAGCCGGCACTGCCTGCCACTCATCGATATACATCTCCTTATGCCTGCGGTGCAGTAAGGATTGCAACTCTGGCTACAAACACCAAACCGTGGCCCATAGAACTTCGTGCTTCCCCAAATATGCATTTTAAGGCGGTGTGTATCTGCATTTCACCCACTGAATCGTTACTCTTCATTGGCCGTGATATATCATCATTGCTGCAGTGCATCGCTTTGCCAGATGTGTCTGATACCAGAGGTCGCAACCGGGTACTCGATACCCTACCCGATACCCGGCTACCTGTACCCGGCCGGGTACAGGTACCCGTTTGCGACCCTGGTGCGGCCGGGTATGGGTAGGCCGTGAGTCACTGGTGAGTAACTGTTTGTCACTCATTTCCCAACGTCTTGTCTCTTCTCACAATTCAAGTTCCTAGAATCAACCCACCCGCGCCTGCAACATGGCTTCATCCCAGAGGTCGCAATCGGGTACCCGATACCCGTACCCTACCCGTACCCGGCCGGGTACGGGTAGCCGGGTATCGGGTAGGGTACGGGTAGCGGGTACCCGTTTGCGACCCTGGTGCGGCCGGGTACGGGTATGGGTAAGGAATCAAAACCCGTTTGCGACCTCTGTCTGATACCCACGACTGTGGCCTCCTGCAGGTGTACACCATCGCGCAGGAGTCGCGCTACCTGCTGGTGCAGGGCGTCCCAGCCTTGGGGGCTGCACAGGAGCTGGTGCAGCTGTTTGCCCTGTACGGCGCCGTGCAGGAATACCACGCCATGGACGAGTATCCAGCCGAGCCCTTCACCGACGTCTACCTCATCAAGTACGGCGACGTGCACAGCGCCAGGTATAAGGTCCTCCTCGCCGCTTGCACGCAAGTACCCGCGGTATAGAGGGCCGCAGTCATGGTGACGTCTTAGCTCTCCTTGGATTTATTTGGGGGTTGTGTCCGCGTGTTGTTCGGAACAATGGCTTGCGTTTCACTGCACATGCTGGGAGCTTCGGTTCTCAAAGAAGCGTTGGACGTCAACACCCCAAGTTCTGGGGTCTTCTTCAGGAAGTGAAGATCCCAGCATTGGCAGGACGTAGTGAAAGTAACGTGGAATACGGTAAAGCAACAGAATGGAGTTAGAAAGCATGGCATATACAGTAAAACCTTGGATTGCGAGTTACTTCGTTTGCGAGTGTTTTGCAAGACGAGCAAAATTTTTACGTAAATATAAATTTTATAAACGAGCGAGGTCTTGCAATACGAGTAGTACATATACGCTTTGTCTGCCGAGCGGCACGTGATCACAACTGAAGTGCTTTGATATACGAGTGCTTTGGATTACAAACACGTTTCCGGAACGAATTATGCTCGCAATCCAAGGTTTTACTGTATAGTCAGGAAAAGGGAGTTGTGGTGGGTGGCACACGGATCAGCATAGAGGGAGGGCGGGTTATGGAGCCAGACACTGAAGTGACACCAAAATATATGCTACCAAGAGCATTAGTATTGGTGGCAATACTAAAAGAGTGGGCCTTGAAGGCAGCATGTTGGCTTTGCAACCACTGATGCACCGAGCAGAAGAAAATAACACTGAGTTGAGGACATCTGTGATGATGGAGGCTTTGCTTTGTCCACTCCCAATTAAAAATGGCCCCCTCTACACAATCCCGCTGCCTGGCTCTGCCTCGCTGTTACAGGGTGGCCAAGAGGCGGCTGGACGAGAGGAGCTTCTTTGGAGGAGTGCTGCACGTGTGCTACGCTCCCGAGTTTGAGAGCGTGGAGGAGGCACGGAGCAAGCTGCAGGCGAGACGGCGTTACGTCGAGCGAATTGCACGCATGCCCGGCCCCGTCTTGCCAGGTGCAGCCATTTGCCGTGGGACTTCTGAGAATTTTTGTTATCTGCAGGGTGGAAAGGGGGAGTTCACCGTTTGTGTTATTTGTAGGTAGTTCGTAGTGTGGATATTTGATTGCAACTGGTGTCTTATTAGACTATAATCAGGTTTACATAAAGGCGATGTACAAATCTACCAAGCTATTTTATATGCATGCATGCCTATTCATGTATATGAAGTCCATCTTTGCACTATTTTTCATCCATGAGACATACATTGGTAAGAGCAACATTGAAAACATTCTATGTTTGTTTACAAATGATACTTGGCACTGTGAACCCATTACCCCCCCCCACCCCCCGGTCAACAAAATGAGCACCACTTTGTGGGAAGACCAACAGTGCTTTCTTGTGGATAGACTGACCTTTGCCATAAGAACAAGGAATTTCCACCACTGGCTAAAAGCAGCAAATCGACATAAGCACTGCCCCTCATTATATTTTATTTGTCTATATCCTTTGATGGGTGCCATGCAGATGCTGTTATAATCAGTGATACTAACCACACGCATGGTCTTTGCAGACGACAAACACGATGACACTGGTAAACCCACGAGCCGTTCCCCTCCTCACCACGAGCCTAAACGCGGACGGAGAGAACCACACAACGAAGATGAGCAAGCAAGCGGGGACCAGGAACCATCATTTCCAACGTATTCTTTCCCCATGATCCCACCGCCCCCTCAGCACCTTCCGCCCGCCGCCCGCATGCCGCCCTCATGGCGCCGGAGTGAAGACATGGAGGGGTACCGAGAATCCAGGGAGCACTCCGATTCTCGGCAACGAGCAACGCTTGCAGGACATACAGAATCCAGGGGTCCCTTGAACCACGAAGGCTCGCGGAGGAAGAATGAGGCAGTGGCGCGGTTTGTGCCACGATCAGCGCTGCTGGAGGCTCGGAATCAGCTGAGGTTGGAGGGAGGTATGGGTGGACGGACGTCTCATCAGGATGTGAATGAGCCGCTGGTTGGGCCGATGCTGCCTCCGGAGATCCCCAAGGACGTGGACCTGGGAGATGCGTCGCTCAATGCCTCGGCCGAACTTATACGGAATCGCATACGACAGGTAGGTCACTTACCGACGAGCATTGTGGCACGAGCAAAGTATCACGTAGCGACAGCATGTCACCAGCATCAACAGGACCATAAAATAATCATTGAAATCAACATTATCATCATGCTCAATCGCAGTAACAGTATCATTAATAGCATTCACATTCATCATATTACTTTAAGTGTTATTAACAATGTGATCAGTAATGTCATCAACGTGACCACCACTTTAAGGAGTAGCATCTTATTCTTGGTTCTTTCGGTAAAGTCACGTAGAAGGGAAATAATAAAATAATACAAATATAAAACAATAAAATTCTCACGACGTTTCGACTGCAACACAAGCAATCATCATCAGGTGCGAAATCCACAGAAAGAAAATTTTTAAAAAGTGGCGTTTTTTTAACGTCAGCACCACGGACAGCGATTTGACAGTTGGTCAGGTGGGCGAGTCCATCTATGTTCGGAAAAGAGGAGGGGGGAGAAGAAGAGAATGGAATGCGGTCTGAAAGTCACCGTAAGCGTGAACACAATCAATTAAAACCCGAAATGGTAGCATCTTATAGAGGTGGCTGGAATTTCTCAGGGAGATCATCAATGTTCCTGTTAATGCACTGAGCCAGTACCATTGAATTTCTGGGTTTTAATAAAACAGCTTCTCTGTATCCCTTCCCATACAAGGATCAATTCAGGCTGCCGCCCTTCCCCAAGTCGAAAACGAGTTGAAGTCAAGAGGTTGTCCCGTTGAGGGAATGGCCCCAGCGGAATGTGGTATTTCCACGGGCTGGTTCAGGGCCATCATCAGAGATGAGCAATACCCCATTGTGGAGTTGAGCAGAGACTCTTTGACACTTTAAAGACAGGATAGTTTGGCAACTATATAGTGTATCGTATGCATCTCTTCATTTTACATGGTACGTTTGTTTTTTCAGGTTACAGATGCTGCACCGTCGAATGTTTCTTCTGCACATCAAGGGCCCATAACACAAGCAAAAGCCCGCAGAAGAATATGATATTAAATGTTCTTACATGTTGCCAGCTGTATATTGCCAGCTGTGTATATGGAAGAAAAAACACGAACACTTTTGAGCAATTGTTTCATTCGTTTATTTGTATCCTTTGTGTTTAAGAGTCCATTGTGTTGTGGGGAAAAGCCCATATGGTAACCAATACAGTGTATGCACAACAGGCCAATAACACCACCAGCTTTACAAATCTATGGGCCAGTTTCACATGTTGATTACACAGCTGCAACACATTGCCTTTGCTAAGCTTGTAATTGTTGACAACACAAACATCGGCATGTGTTTCACCAACAATCGGATGAATTAGAACATTCACCAACATCTCTTGGGGCATACATTTCCACAATAGTATTGTTACCAACTTCACGAGTACTCTACTATTGCGTTGCCACAATTAAACCCTTAACCAACCACACTTTAAAATAAAGCCCTACTGCTAAAGCATTGTCGAAAAGTGTATAATTTAGTAAGCTTGTATCTGTGTAAACATGATTAAGGGCAGCAAGTAGCATGTGAACACTTCACTAACTTTAAGCAGGTGAGTGCAAAGTTTTCCCAAGTTGTGTAACATTTAGCCTTGGTAATGTTTTGTGTCACAGTTTCAATTGGCTTGTGCTTTGTATTTTTCACTTAGCTCTTTTGTACACTGTTTGGGTCAGATGATTTATGTGACTTGATTACTTTCTCTTTAACATACAAGACAAATGCATTCACAGACTGAAGATGCAACTTAAAAATAGTTCTAAGGAGATTCATATGCTGTGTTCTGGGTGATTTAGCAGCTTTTTAACCTTTGTTAATGAGGGGAAAAAGTATAAGTGTTTCATCAAACTCTGATATGGGTTAAACCAAAATATTTTACATACATAGGGGTGAAAATTGTATCATTTCCCATTCAGATTTAAACCCAATTTGTATTAGATCATACATAAAACAGAATTGTCCTCAATTGGCAATGTATGGATATCTGTTCTTGATATCGACGGTAAATATGCAAATGCGTATTAAAAATGTCAATGACCATGCAGATTAGGTGCAGACATGATAAAAATTGTAATGACTTGAAATGTAATTGCATCTCAAGATGCTGTAGAGAAACACTGAACATATTTTAAGGCAGGTTGGAAAAATCGTCTTTGGACTGGAACAGGAGTTGACAGCACGGACGGTGCGGTAGAAAAAGAGTCCCAGCCTATGGGTGCAGTAGAGAAGAATGAGCAACCTCCCACGGAGCGAAGATTGAGGGATTCAACAGAAAGCTTTGCTGGAGCTCGTGGAGGGCAATAGCGATGAGAGGGGAGAGGATGGTAGTCACCAGTCCATGGAGGACCAATAAAAAAACTGGACATCAAGACTACCATGATGGTTGTCTTGCACCTGCCCTCTCAACCGACCAGCCAACACAGTCACCATTTGGCTGTGACCAGCACGGCAATTTTGCCAGCTAAAGAAAGTATAGTGGCAAAAGCTCGCTGGCAATAGGTCATGGGAAAGAGACTGGTCTCCGTCATAGGAATGTGGAATTCCACCACTGCCAACGAAGATGAGCACCACCCCATTTCACATTTTAGGATGGGTGCATACCAATATTTTAAAAAAAACATTAGTATTTTTACTTTGCAATCAGTGTTTTATGCATTTAGTGCAGTATCTGCCAAGCCAAATTGACTTGACGTCGACAGCTGCCTACTCATTTAAAAGGGAAAAAAACAAAGCCCAATGCTTTTAAATAGATGCTATACACTCTGACATCAAAAGCCAAATGATAAATTACTGTGTCTGCAAAAAAGAAAAAAATATATATATAACCAGCTAAAGGTTACAATGGCTATCCTGATGATTAATTTAAGTGATGCCAACCTCAAATGGTTATAACAAGATTAAACAAAATTCCAGTGGATTCTAAAAATCAAATGGTCTTCCACGCAGTGAGGAAGAAAAACTATTACAATGTTATGAAGAAGCAATCCAAAATGCAGATATGCACACATAGTGTCTATATTCTGCGACGCCTGACACGAGTTTTAAGTTTTAGTAAGTGCAGAGGAACGTGAATGTGAAAGGGGCATTCGCTACAGCGCCCTCTACTGATGTCACCAGGGCATGGCTGTAAAACACGTCTCATGACTTGTGTGTGCGTGGGTGAAAATCACAAGTGTGATATTGGGGACAACACCCTCCTGTCCTGCTCACACAATCTGTCTATTACTGCACCATGCAGCTGCACAAGTGATGCATTCTAGCAACCGCAACACAAAACCCACAGCCGTCACGACAATCAAGGCACTCGAGTCTCCACCGCCGTTCACGAGGCAGCAGCAGCAGCCCCAAGCCTTCTGCATCCCAACGTGCTGCAGTTCATTGTGAGGGTCTCTTCACATTCGTTTATAAACCGTATTGGCAGCGCTTTGTCTCGTAAACGGGAGGAGGGATTTGGGAGGTGAAACGACAGTTTTTGATTTAAAGAAGCAGATTGTAACTCGCATCATGGTTGATTTGTATTTTAGTAATGATGACAAATACTGCCCATTTGTGTTTTGGGTTGCATCTTCCTTTGAAAGCCTTGTCCCTGATGTTCCGTGACGGCTGGTGTACAGGTTGTGGCCCGTTACGATTCTTTGGCTTTCGGCTCTCCAAGAACTTTCTTGCGTTGGGACATCATATGGAAGTAGAGCTGTGGGAAGACTGGTGAAAGGGACCAAAGGAAAGACACAATGTAATCGTCAACAGCTAGACATGATAGCGACATATGCCGCAGATTTTATGTGGGATTGGCTCATGTAGGTTTCGTAAACAAGCACTGCCCTCCGATGTGCTTTTGGGTCTTGCTGCGCATTGTTCAAGCATTATATCTGACACGTCGCTTCATGTGCTGGGAGCTTCTTCGGGAACTCGTCGAGTGAAATGTCGGACATCATGCCGAACAACATGTGGTAAAACCCAAAAACAACGGAGAGCCATACATGCGGCGTTGGAACTCCTAATCCACTACTTTGCAGAGTATCTAGGAGAAAGCTTTGAAGCAAGTGGGCTTCAAACCTATTGCTGAGGACTGTTTTGAGTGCGATGCCTTCAAGGGCGACAGCACCTTGTGGTTGTGCATTCACTGCCTGTTGCAGAGGCTCATGGTTATACTCCAGCAACCGGCCTGATTGGTACTGCAGGTGGATTCACGGTAAAAATAAGCCGTCTGCTTCACAGTCAACGACAAAGATCCTGCGACATCATTCGCAAGAGCAGGCCATTGTGTATTGGCGTCTTGGTAATTTTTTTGGCTAGCCATCGAACAAAAATGGTAACCGCATCGCGCAGTAACCGCATCGCGTGCTTTCAGATGCATTTCTGCGGCCGATATTAGGAAGCCACTGGAGCTATGCACTTGTAAATCTGGATTTAAAACCCATTTATTTAGAACTGATTTTTGTGTTTAGTTTCGTCCTTCCCTCTGCACCTCCAATTAGCACAGATGGTTACGTCCAGTGCGAAAAAAGTTCAACATATCTTTGTCAAATTTGAAAAATGACCCGCAAATTTCAAAATTGGAACTTACAAAGCAATTATAGCCCCCAACTGTTAGCGGGACGCTCCAAAAAAATATTCACGAGGCTCAACGAGGCATTCCTAGAACAGGTCCCTGCGGGGTGGGCTGGTAGGAACGAATAACCAAAGAATATAAACAATGTATTATTACACTTGTTTAGCCAGGAAAGCCTCACTGAGTCTAAAGGTTTTTGTAGGGTCCTGCCAAGTGTTTGCAGTAGGGGGCGATGTTGCTACACCTAATCGGACGATACGAAGGGAGAGTTTGAGGCCTAGTTCTAGGCTTTAGGCCTAGCTGTAGGCTTTAGGCCGCTGTGAGTTAATTTTTAATTTAAATGTTTTAATTATTAATGTAAAAGCTTTAAATTTAAATGTTTCTATTTAAAAACATCAGGGAATGTAACATTGTTAAACATTAACTCCCTTTCACACCCGCGGGGGTACGATACGAAGGGAGAGTTTGAGGCCTAGTTCTAGGCTTTACGCCTAGCTGTAGGCTTTAGGCCGCTGTGAGTTAATTTTTAATTTAAATGTTTTAATTAAAAACTATGTCAGGGAATTATAAGGGAATGTTACACTTGTTTATTTAGCCAGGAAAGCCTCACTGAGTCTAAAGGTTTTTGTAGGGTCCTGCCAAGTGTTTGCAGTAGGGGGCGATGTTGCTACACCTAATCGGACATCGGACGGACGGACGATATCATCTATTGTAGGCTGGTTCACTTCGTTCCTACCAGTATAAACGATTATAATATTCATGGGCTTTCACACGGTTCTCCAACTTGCTCTCATTTTCAAAAACACATTGAAAATAAAGGGACCAAGCATCTGCATGCAAGAGCCTGCTGAGAAGAGCATCGCTACTCAGCTAGGCTCTGCTGGATACACAAAGGGCAACATTATTATCACCTCAAAAGAAGAGTCTAGTGAGGTGGCTAGGAAACTAGAAGAGATCAAAGGCTGTGTCACAGCAGTAAGCCAGAAACAATGAAATCTAGGGTTTCACAGCATGTAATTAATACAGATTCAAGCATAGTTTGTAGTTTCAGCCCAATCACCGATAATACATTTATCATCTGGCAATATTTTGTATCGAATCTTAAATTTAAAACTATTTCACTATTTTTATCTTACCAAGTAAGGCCTACTGAGCTTCATTGCTCTTTTTCAGAAGCAACCTGGCAATAAATAATAGCTCAACTAAGTGGCTTATCATGTACAAATGTATAGCAGCCAAATTACTCTAAACACACGTTTCTAAATGTGGAGAGAAAAACCGGAGGACCTCGAGAAAAATCCATGCGACCACAGCGAGAAAAAGCAAACTCCAAATATATAGGCATCAGGGTTGGGATCGAACCCACCACCTCCTGTATACCAGTCGAGGTAGTTAACATCTCGCCACCAGTGTTATGGTCCAACGATGAGGCGTTCCTGGGCAAATGCAGTACAATGTCATTATTTCCTCATGACTTTATTAAAATGACACAAAAGGCCTTGAGCACTCACTTGGCATGTAGGAGATCATGACGATGATGAGGAAGTAGTAGTAGTCGAAGGAGATATTGAGGGCATTGGGGAGTGGGTACGCGAAGAGCTTGGAGCGGTAGACGTGGGGCAGCGCATGGTAGATGGTGAGCAGTTCGCCCGTCACGCCCAGTGGGTACAGCACGATGAATAGCGTGTACCTAAATGGGCAACGTCACAGCAAAATGCCCGCCAAGCCCGTCGCTCCGATTAGCACGGTTGCCTCAAACACGTTCTTTCGGAGTTGGCAGGTAGGAACTTGGTTGGACAGCGCATTCGTGCGATCCGTGTCACGTGGCGCAATCTGCGTGGGGCGGCACGTCACGTGCTGAGCCCACCCGAAGCGCTCTATGAAATATAAATCGAGGGCGTGGCTATGCACGCCAGACAGACAAATCATCCCTGGTGGGCAATGTGGAACTGTTCCTACCTGTATAAATATATACGTCCAAATCAGATGCAACTCAGAAAATAATCGAGTCATATTCCGCAGATACGCAACCTATGTTGTCCTTCCCAAGGCTATCCCAACATAAGCTTGAAGCTGAAAGTAACATTTATTTATTTCACTTGTTTAACAGGAAAGCCTCACCCAGTCCTTTAGACACTTTTTCAGGATGGTACTGCCACATTATTGTAGTAGGAGACGATGTTACTATTTGTATTCCCAGTTGAATAATTTGCAGAGGTGTTTGGTCAATACTAGTTACAATGTGTTTTTTTTGCTGTGGAAAGAAACCGGGAGAACCTGGAAGAAACCCGTGCAGAACAGGGGGGTGGGGGAATGTACAAACTACACGCAGAATGGCGCTCGAGTAGGGAATAGAACCCAGGACCTTTCTGCTGAGGCACAAGTGGTACAACTGCGCCACGCTACCAGCCGAAAAGTCAGAGCCACGTGATTTTCCAGCACACCGTCTGAGTCCCCTCGAGCGCTTGGGCAAAGCGGTAACTTAATTGATAGTGACGTGTGGCTCACCGGGCCCATTTGATGGCACGTGGGAGGTACTTGAGAAGACTGAAGGTGTAGAATGAGTAGCGGACGATCTCCGTCAGAGTCCAGGCACTCAGGTAAATCAGGACACTGTATTCATTCTGAACCTGAAAAACATCATTTGTGTACATGTTCAAACGGCATCCACCATGAGAATGTGGAGTTTCAATCAATAGCTCTGAACTCCACCCCATTGCTTATTCAAAAACGTAGACATTTTGACTTTGGTTTGTGCGTGCATATGTCTTATATTCATACAGTTCAGAATATGCAATGCATCAGACATTCGACAGCATAATGATGTACCCATATTATTCCAAATATAAAAAATAGATATGTTTATACAAACGTGCTAATATAAAATGCATTTATTCATTTCGTGCACGAGCTTTTATTCCTATCCAATTACCCAAGTAACCGAAATCTGAAGTATGGTCTCGTTTGAGTGAAAATGGCCATTGGAAGAGTGTGGGACCCAAAAACATTGGATTGGTTATTTAATGTAATGACAGCCATGGAAGCGAAGTTATTTGATCAAAATGCACCAAGTTAACCGTTTTCTAACATTGCAATAAAATGCGATGGTATTGCTATTTCAGATTATTCATCAGATTAACCTGTTTATCTTAATTAACTGCTTGCTTTGTACCGAGGCTGTTTGGCTGGATGGTGCTGTTGCATACAGTCCACTCAAAAGTCTTAAGGTTGTGGCGTTCAAATCTCAGCATAGCGTTGACTCAGTGCATGATTCCTTCGAGGATGCAAACATGAGAAGCCGTCAACATTAGTTGTCTATTAGAATGACAACCACATCTTAATTGATGACTCATTATTGATGAGTGACAGATCATTTGAGGGATATAAAGGGGTGAAGAGTGGCTCATGAACGAAGTAATTCCCAGTTGTGCGATGTACTGCGTGGAAGACGTAATGAAGACAAAGTTCAAGACTCACACCCAGGCTGGAACTCCTTTACATAATTATATTCCAATCGGCACTAAGTTGATGAAGACATTTCACTTGGGAAGCTAACTACGAGGTGCCAACTTGAGTTAAAAGAAAAAACCCAAAAGAGAACATCACATAACTAATTCATAAATCCATCCCAAAGGCATCTTTATCCACACAAGCACTCGTTTTACATTCCCTGCCAATAGTGTTTGTCTTATGCCAATCAAGCCGAAAAATTTAGTTTGCACAGCTGGAATAAGCCAAAGTGGAACAAACATGTATTTTTTTCTTGGAATAAATACAACTCATTCCACTTGAGAATCAAGTTTAATCATTGGAGGGTCTTGCCATGCCCGTGCTTGGACGTGGAGCTGAGTGGACTTGCCAATGACTGATAACAGCGGTGTCAAGATTGGCCTCTGGGGAGGAGGCTCGTGAAGGATGTTACTGGGCAGTTGGAAGCAGTCACCCTTCAGCAACAATGGAGGGCAGAGGAACGACGCTCACAACAATGAGCAGAGTGCCAGCTGGTTAAAACGCAGCAAGTTGGCACAGTAGGGGCACAGGTGGTGCATCGGCCAGTCATCTCATTCAGTCAACCCATGGCACCTGGGTCTGACCTGTAACCTCCCGCCAACGGGCGTTCAACACTTCACGTGGGCTTAACGTGCACATTGTCTGGCACAAGCGCTGTGGTGACATTACCGCCACTTAGTGGCAAATGGCGATTGTTGTGGTGCTTGGACATGGTCCGAGCCACCCAGCGACTTCAAATTTTTATTGCGCAAAACGTGTACATTTGATGACGGTGGCTAGGATGGATCGTGAAGATGGTGATGTGTGGTCTTACTGGCTTCACGCTGTCTGTGACAGCCCACACCAAGAAAACTCGAGACGACACCTGAAACGCGGTGAGCACAGCTGAAGACGGCACAATCCCTGCGGGAAGAGCAACACAAGCATGCTCACTGGCCTTGGTGTTTAAAATTAAATTCTGGATCAGCAGGCTCGTGTTGGACATGTTAGAGCACAGAGCCAGCAAGATAAAGACCATTGGTTTGAATGTGCATTTCGGGTGCAAGTTATTAAAACATAATCTCCGTGGCACAGTGCAAGCTGATCTTAAACGTGGTGTTAATTTAACGTGGCATATTATAGCTAAGTTGTTTGACATACAATGACTTTTAGGTTTGTGTCTTGTGTGGCAATATTGTCTGGGCATAAACAAAGCACCAATTAAAGTTCAGCAAGGGAGGATTATTAAAGTGGCTTCATCAGTAGTGTAAATTTCCACCAGTATTCGCTTACAAAATGTGATTATACACTGTGTTACATTGTTCACTGTGAGTGTTCCAGATGAAAATGTCTCGATTTAATGTTCAAATAATGGCAATAGTATCATTGATTATCCATATATAAACACACAAAGTATATTTATGTAAATATAGATGCTGCAATTCAATTTGATCTCCCGTACAACAGTTTAAACTATGGGCAAGTTTCTTTAATTCCCATACTCTGTCCACCCAGTAATATAAAACGGTATACAACAATTAGCTGATCGGCAGGTTGCGTGTGGTGGGGTAAAGTGTAATAACTCCGACTTCTTTCACGATGTCTGGACCTCCTTGGAGGCCCTTCGACCAGCAGTGACGTGGGCAATGCATTGCAAGGGCTACACCGTTATAAATTATATCTATATATTTTTTCATGTAAGTGTCTTCATACTCCTATAAGCATTAGAGTTGGTTCATATTCCTTAGCAGCCTTGGCCCAGTGTTTAAAATTCTAAATGTTTGCTATGGGAAGCCAGTCTTACCATAGGGACCACTTTTTACTTCCAACAAGGTGGTACTCACTTTATAAATCTCAGAGGGATGCTTATGATTGGCTCACCAACTGGGATTTGAACCTGCAAACGTTGTGTTTGCTAGTCTAATGCTCTAGCCCAATGCGTTTCATTGCAAGGCCCACAAGCCACTGGCCTTTAGTGCTGGCCCTGACGTGTGGCCCCCCACAATACACAAATGTGAAAACACCCCATCATGCTGTCAAACACAAAGGTGTCAAATATGTGGTGGCCCTCGCACTGACGATGTATTATCTGCGAAAGTGGCCACCTCTCTGAAAGTTAGTGAAGAACACTGCTCTAGCCACAGCTCTAACCACACAAGCCTCCGTAAACCACGCCTGGATTATGCGAGAGGGAGACAAGGCACAGGGCAGAGGGACAGCTCGCGGCTGCTACAGAAATAGTCGCACTTGCAGTCAGCATTTTCATTATGGCTAGACTGTAATTTTTAGGTTATGGATGAACAAGGGGTAGCGGGATTTTAGGCACGTCCTTTTTAATTGTTGCGGATAACAGTACTGCCTCACTGTAAATATCATATGACTACAAACTGGCAGAAGAACATCCCTTGTTAAATGTAAGTCACTCATCGAATTACTTTAATTGGATAGGTGGTCCGATTTTCAATGGCAGTCAAAAGCCAGTACTGGAAATGCCACATGTTCTTGGCAAGGGGACAGTGAACACACTTAAGATGACAACTGTGGACATCCCAGACACGAGTGCTAAATTTAAAGTCCCTGGGAAATATGATAGGTTGAGTCAACCCTCAAACAGGATATGAACTTGCTAACTTTGTGACTGTGAATTTAGCACTTTTCTGGGAGTGCCATCTGGTTTGCATTTCTTAAAATTATGAAAAAAAAATGTATGCTTTATTGAAATGCTGTGGCTTTATCATTTTTATAAATGCCGATATCACAATAAACCATCAATAATGGGAATACAGATTTTATTTAATTTAAGAGTCTTTTTAGGATATGTATGCTGAAGCTATCATGATAAGGCCTCACCACACCATGCCTATTTGAGGGGGAATTGAGCATGCTTCTTCATGCTGGTCTATATGGAACGGTGAATGAAGCCCTGGATCAATTAAGATATCATTCGCCCAGCCAGGAATCAAACTTGTGTTGCCAGGTTCAGTCACATCACGAGGTAACGAAACCCTGGTTCTTCCTTAACTCCTGGAGACCTAGAGTCACCAGGCATCATATCCGAAGATTTCCCTTAAGGATGATGTCCCAGACCGTTCATAGGCAGTTATTTAAATGTCACAACAATTGGCAACATCTTATACTGAAACGGTGAAGAAGAACGTGCTGTACAGATACTTTCCAAAGCACATTATAATTTAATCACCCATTCTGTGCACACATACACGAAGAAGTTCCCTATTTAATCTTACAGACCATAGAGGCAACTGTTGTCTGTGAGGACTTATTAATGCAAGCAAGGTACACACAAGGGAATTGTGGATTGTAGTGGGAAGATAACTCTAAACAATGCACCACTCTGCAAATACACACATGAATAGGTAGATGACTACAGACTTACCAGTGGCACAGTGAACCACCTGTGAAAAAAAAAACAAAGTGGGTTTGTTTATGAAGAGCAATTGACAAGTACAGTTAGAATATTGCTAGATATCTATAATATAAGATAGAAATTCAGGTCTACTCGGCCTTAATGTGTACCAGTGTTCAGTGTGTGAATATCATTACTGAAGAGATGAATACTGGCAGGCGTAATGTCCTCAGCTATATCACAAGCGGCAGACCTTACCAGGTGCTCGCGAACGGCACTGCCACATATACAGTTAATAAGGTTTGTCTGTGCAGGCTATTACAGATGTTTTCACATGGTTGATCCCCTGTCTGTTATACGGATATATTAAAACAGCATTTTATAGAATAGGAAATTACAAAACAAACTCTTAAGTACCCATGGGTTTCTCCTTTAAATTAAATTGCTTCCCTCTACAAAATGCTTTGCGGAAGTTTAGTTACAATTGAATTTGAATATCGGCCATGATAACAAATATCGGCCTCCTTCTGCGAAGCATGTTACCGGGTCTTTAACGTAAAATGTACGGCTTTGGTTATTTTTATCGTTGGCATGATATGGCGATACTACAATATATCGTACGATACAAGATCCGTGATAAGTGTATTGTTTGTTTTGCAAAATATCATCATTGTTATAATAGTTAGTCATTTTATTTTTCTCAAATATCATATTTCCTGAGAAAATATTTACGAAATAATGTACTCAATAAAGTTGTAATACATCACTCTTATTCATAAATTAAGTGCTGCGTAATGTTTTTCTGAAGTAACTGATGGTGGTTATTGTATCGTCATTTTCACAATTCACTTAATTATTTAACCCTTCCCCATTCCGATGACGTGGATGAACGGGACCAACTTGTGGACGTCTCGCAATGGGAAAGGGTTAAGCACGTTTCATTGTAACAGACAGCATGTGTGCTAACCCAGCTTGCCTTTGCATTGGGGCCGTGATGAAAATTTTATTCGTAGAATGTTTTATGATGATCAGTTTTTAAACAGGCATATGAATAATTACACTAATATTAGTTATTGAGCAGCAGAAAAACCACTTCAATAATAATAATACACAGTATTATAAATAAGCTTATTTATATTCAGAGTAAAATGATAAAATGTTGCTGGAAAGTTGCATTGTGTCTAAATGGGTTTATTTAATCTATTGGATAAATAAAAGATACAACAATACAAATTATAGATTTAAAATTTTAACCGATGAAGCTGAGCGAACTGCAGGTGAAGAACTTATAAGTATCTTTATTTGTACATGAGCACAGCAAAGCACAAAAACAAGTACAATACAATTGTGAAATACAACTACACAGCTATGAGAAACTGATATCACAGTAATCATTGCACTATGAGATTTTATCTTGTAACATTAAAAAGGATACAGCAAAAACCAAAGTATTTTTTTAAGCCAGCTCTGTGGCAGGTGAACTTTGTTTTACAGCGACATATACTCCAGTAAAATGCCTCCAATGTTTACTAACTGAACTATAGAGAGCAAATGTTTAACTAGTTGACTAAAATACACTGGTCTCTCTGAGTCAAAAGCTGAAACCTGCTTGGGTTATTATTATAACAGATTCCTGATGATGGCCCGTTATTAGACTGTTGCTCAATGCAAGTCACGTATCAGTTTTGCATAAATATTTACCTAATTCAGATCTCATTAAATTATGATTGATACTCATTCACTTTTGAGACTCCTGCAATGTGACACAAAATCATGGACTTGATAATGATCATGATTTATGATCATTTAGGATGGCCAATTATAATCATCATGGCAAACAGTGATTTCTGGGATGATGAAAAAGATTGAGGGGATAATGATGATGGGCCATAGCCATGATGACAGGGGTCGTAGGTGATAATCATGTAAGTTAAAATAGTAATGATGGTGATTACGATCACAGTGATGATTATATTTATATTCATGATAATTATACTATTACGATGTTGCTAATTGTGAACGCGACGATGATGATGATGGCACGATGATACCATGATCATAATTACCTCCAAGAGAGCGCCCGTTTGGAAGATTTTTAGGGTCTTCTCTATTGAGCGATAGAGCCCCCTGTTTGAGCCCTTGGCCAGCCCATAACGAGCCATGGACACAGCCAACACCAGCCACCTGAGTGTGAAGAAACCAGAGACAAACCCATTAATTTGCAGGCCCTCACACAGTGCCTCGGTTCAGGATTCATCAACCTTAGGGTAACAGAGGCCCCTTAATTATATATTACATACATGGATACATTTAAAATGCCACAATTTATTTTACTATTGATATACAATTCATTGTGTGTATGACAAATCACACCGAATGCACGCAATCTCATCTGATCTTGCAAGCTAAGCAGAACATAAGCACTGCATTATTGTATTTATATAATGAGGCTTCCACCTCCCCAACAGCAGTAATCCACACTGACCAGCATGGTAAAGTATGCTCAAATAACGTCTGTGCATGACGTGCACACATTACACGCTCCGTCATGCATTAGCTCCTCATTATTAATCACAGCCCAATATTTCCACAGCTGGAAATGTAATGGTCCCTTCTCCACCACCGTAAACTTACGAGCAATCCAAGGTGTTTCTCATCGCTCCCGCGACATCGGGTTTTGTGCAACAGAAAAAACATTTATGAAATAAGTGTGCTTTTTCAACACCTGTTTCACATAGCAAGACAACGAATACATCAGCACTAACATGTAATTAAAAAACTAGTCCCATTGGTTTAAAAATATATAATTACCCACTATCACTTGTGTTTCTTACATCTATAAAGACAAGCATAGTAGAATGAAAGTACAGTGTAGCACAGGAGTGTTAAGGCCTGTATTTTTAGATTGCAAATGGAGTGTTTTTACTTATGATAAATGAATATGGCACACTGAATGGCACAATACACCATTGATCTATGCAGTAAACTTTGCTACATAGCCTTTTCCAAAATGGGCAAAATCAGCTATTTTGGAAACCAAGCAGGTATGGAAAACTTTTCATTGACCAGGTTGACTTATGATTACAACACGAGGCACCACATAGGGCTTCGCTGCAATTTCTGAGTTTGGTTAATTCCATGCATTTCTCATGAGAGCGCATTACGTATATCCTTAAGATAGCCAAAACACGCCATTGTCCTATGAATTTCTGACGGTCACGAAATTCACATATCTCTGTATTAGTAGCTTGCACACATACACAGGTATGGATTACAAACTTAAATAAATAAAAAATACTTTCCCCATTACGAAGACCATCAACTAAAAGCCATAAAATCAACAGTGTAAAGCCAAATTTAGGAATTTATTTAAAGTGAAACTGAAGTATAGCTCAAGACTTGAATGGCACTGCTCATTAGAAAGTGTTCTGCAATGTGCTTCATGCTAAATATAGTCCCGACACACTCTAATACAAACACTGTATTATCAGCCCGAGTGCTGTACAAATTGTACGACCCATAGGGCCAACGTGCCAAAGATGATGAACCTTTGGAGCTGTATGAGCTATTACCTTGGTGGGTCATATCAGAAGGAATGTGAATGATATGGCTGTGCATCTAGTCACCTCGACATGAGCAGTTTTTAGTCTACAGTGTACACAGGGGAAAATGTGCTTCTTGGTTTACACATTTTTTGTTTGCATTTATAATTTTTATAAAAATAAGCTGTAAAGTGAAGCAAATTTTTGAAATCCATAGATATAAAAACATGAAAGAATATTGATTTGAAGCTTTCGTGACCGCAGGAATCCATACTCTTTGGTTCTTTCGGTAAAGGCACGTAGGTAGAAAAATATATATATATAAAATTTAAAAAATTCTACCTACGTGACTTTACCGAAAAAACTAAAGAGTATGAAAGAATATATTGTAGATTTTAGTTGTATAATATTGCAGATTGAAAATCAGGCATGATGGCAATGTGGTTAGAGTGCTTGGCTCACAATGAGATTGAAAATGACCCATTCAACGCAATGTACATTCAGGGTTCATTAAATTAGTACCACATTTTGAGACGTCAAAAGCAGTAGTGATATGAACATACTGGCCCAAGTCATGGGAATGTAGAATTTTCACCACCGGCTCAGAGAAAACAACAGAGATGAGATGAACAAGGAGACATTTTGAGTTGAGTAAAAGGCAACCCAGCTGAGACCACACAATAAACTTCTGCATGATTGATCAACAGTTAATTAAATCTGGGTTAAAACCTATTATATCTCGGCTGTGTTGGTCCAACGGATCTGATGCAGACATTATGAGCCCACAAAACTTCCTACCTCTCTTTGTGACGCAGCTCAGACTGTGTACAATGTAAAATATGCTGATGAATGTAGCACAGATATACTTTTCTTTAACATAATGCGAAATTGTTATTTGCGATTTTGGGGAATAGTTAGTAAAATTATATCAGCGAGTGATTGAGGTTATTGTGCTGCAAACAATAAGATCCTAAATTTGTATCTAGGTTTCTGACAGCTCTAATTAAACAGATTTTGCAAGTGTAGAAAACTGATGATCTCAGCTCTACATATGTAACTGCACTAAAAGTAAACTTTACTCCAAACTTTTAATTTAAAGCTTTCGTGACTGCAGGGATTGATATTCTTGGTTCTTTTGGTAAAGTCACGTAGAAGGGAAATAATACAATTTTAAAAATATTAAACAATCAAATAAAATGTTATTGTTTTATATTTCACCGAAAGAACCAAGATTATTACTCCAAACTGTCACTTAATTTGACCTATTTATTAAAATAAATGTTAAAAGTCAACTTTCTATGTGGTGAACACAAACAGGGCATATAAAAAAGCTTGACACCCAGTGTGGAAAAAGAGGTCTAAATTAGGTAACTTGGAAGTAGTTCTGTCACCTCTGTCATTATTTTCTGGGAGGCGTTCTTTATCACAAGGTTATGCACTTCTTGCTGTGACGGTTCTGAGTGACAACGTATTTGTCTCATCACATGACGCTGGTAGTACAACCAGAAGATATACTGTAACTGAACTTTTTTTTAGGCCGCTTGTGACCCCATGCAAGAATGCACGGTTATTGTAACGTGACGCGCATGTTGGCAATGGCTGTCCGATTGCGACAGTCACACGGTGATGAATTGAAGTCAGCACTGGAGGGTGGCATGTTTGACGATGAAGCAAGTTAGAGCCAGTCTGCATTCACGTCAATCCGGGAACAAGAAGATTCAAGCACCTTTTCCGGAGCTTGCCGAATCCCAGCTGGTGGCGCACCCTGCCCAGTGGTACAACTTCGCGAGCTTCGTCCACACAAACAACTTGTACCAGTTGTCAACAAATCTTATCTTCCCAGATGCAGGCAATGTTAGCAAACGCCTATTAAGCTTGATATATATGCCACAGTGGGGTGATGTGGCCAGTAAACCACACACCCAGCTGCTTTTGTCTCCCTGTGGGCTGATTAATTTACAGAGTGCTTGCATACTGTGCATGATGACGCGCATCTCAAGGGGAGTAGATGGCGCAGTTGATCATGTGAAACAGATTCTCACTCACATGGCGTTGGTGGGAGTCTCATGTATTAGGTAGTATGACAAGAAGGCTTTTGACTTATGCCTGTCTAAAGAGTTGGCTTTCTCCATTCCGATTTCATTCCACACCACGATTCACTGGGTGGATGAGGAGGTCGGTAGCTGTATGGCTGGGTAGGTAAGCGGATGGACAGTACTTTAACTTGGTTTAAAATTAAGGTTGAATCTAAACCAGGCTTGATGGCGAACATTTAAATCTCAGCTACGAGGGCTCAACCCAGCCCATCGTCTCGCCGAAGTGAAAAAATAAGCACGTCTTATGGTGCTAAGACAGTAGCTGTCTGATGAATAGATGAGCCCTATCATAAAAATGCAACATTTTTCACCATCGGCTCCAAACCGCTGAAATGGACAGACAGGCTCATGCGAGCAATGAGACATCTGACTTTCAGACTTGAAGTGCTGAGTAAGTCAAAGTCTCTCTTGTAAAGGAGACATGTTTTATAAATTTGCTGCAACGTGGTTCCACAAATAATTTTCTTCACTCGGTATCACACAACTTTAAAAATAAAGTCCAACTGCTACAGTGTGCTTATCCGCATGCAAAGGGGACAGCGGACTTTGTGATTAAATTGAAACCATCTGGACCCGGGCGTATTTGGCTGGTACTAGTTTTCGTCGGACACTATGTGTACCTCCCAGTCTGTTTCCAGGAAGCACACTTTAATAAATAAAAACCATACTTAGAAATGCATTACTGTACATTAGATAAAACTTGGATAAACATGTACACATTCCCTTATTTAAAGCACAGTACATGATTTTTTTTCATCCAGGACTGTACTTTAGAATCTATAAAAACTAGGCCACAGAGCCAGACCAAGGTACCCTTACGATTCCTGGTACATGGGGGAATCAGTGCAATAAATAAAATGAACGCACGCTCAAAACTCTCAGGCCTCTATGTGGGACAGTGACTCAGAGAGGCTGATTAACGTCACCAATATTCTAAGGTTTCGTCGTCAATACCCGGGTATCATAGAGCCAGCCAGACTTAAGGCAATCCTTGGTTTTTTTAAAATCAGCGTTATTCCCCAAGGATCACAGTTGCCAGACTAATTAAGCGTTAGGGTTCTTAGCATGCAGTATTATTTACACGAGGCTCAAACGAGCCCAGCTAACTTGTACGATTATTTAGGTTCACTGATAATTATCGTGGCTCAAACCCCAGTGTTATGTGTAAACTCGTTGGGTTCACTTTAATCACTGGGGCTCCATAAGAGTCAGATTAAGTCAATCCTTAAGGATTCTTAAGATGAATTATGACCACAGGCACATAGAGCCCGATTAATGCCCACTTAAAGTGGAATATTTCACTTATTGCAGGTTAGCTGCGATGGGGGTAAAGCGTGGGATACTCCAATCTTGGCCAGCGCGAAAGAGTAGACCAAAATATTATCCAGACTATGTGAATCCTTAGAGGAGTGATTACGATTAACTGTTATCAACAACATTGGGGCATATAGGGTTCGATCCTCTGCTTCCCTCTGGTGAAGAAGGCCCTTCCGCAAGCAGTGACCTGGGTTGTAAATGACAGGGCTGTACTTTTACCTGTTACTAATGACAACTAGGGGTCAGATAAGCTTCGCCATCCTCGCGATTCGATCAATTATGCGATCCCGTGCAAGTGTCAATTATTATAGTTTTAAAGATGTGTTAAATGTGGCGGCCTCTAGTGGCTGGACATGCCACGTGAACCCATTATATGCGATATTAAAACGTAAACCATCGATTATTGTGAATGCAGCGCAAGCTTAAATAATCACAACGACAAGCAGACGATGCTTACGTTGCAATTAGTAAAGCGTTATATTAAACACTGTGCCAATGTCAGAGCTTGAGGCGAATGCAGCATCTGAGATTTCTTAGCATCGCCAAGGCCTTGGACAATCCGCCAACATAAAACAAACGAACAGAAACACACTCTACCGACATCAAACGCAACACCAACAACCACAGCGAGTGCATCCAAGCACGAAGACGTTTCGCCGCACGCGTGACACTGTTGCAACTCAACTCTCTCCACACGCGCCAGTGACTGACAGCCAACGTGGTTGAGTGGTGACTTGATGATGGTGGTGGTGGTGATGATGGTGGTGGTGGTGGTGATGATGGTGGTGGTGGTGATGGTGGTGGTGATGATGGTGATGGTGGTGATGATGGTGGTGGTGATGGTGGTGGTGGTGATGGTGCGGCAGCAAGAGTTGCCGAGTAGGGGGGGGGAGGAGGGGGTTCAACTTTTACCCGGCGGTCATGACCGTGTTGTAGAGGATGAGCCAGGCCGTGGCGAGGAAGCTCGCCTTGCCCCGGCTCGCAGCCGCAGCCTTCTTCTTCTTCTCCGCGGAGGCCGCGGGCTGAGCCGCCTCGGCACCCTCCACCTCTGCAGCCATTTTTTTTGTTGCAGAGAAACAATTGCCGAGGGTGGGGGCTGGGGGGGGTGAGAGGGGGGGGGGGGGCTGGGGGCGTGGCCACGTCACGAACGCGCTGCTCGGCGTCCTATCAGCGTGCGCCGTGCATCGGTGGCGGCTGTGATTGGTTGCCGTGAATGAATTGAACTGCTGGTTGCACTGAGACCGGGTTCGGTTGCAATTGTGATTGGTTGCCGTGAATGAATTGAACTGCGCTTTGCACTGAAACTGGGGTCGGTGCAATGAGATAGGGTGCCGTGAATGAATTGCACTGAGACCGGGGTCGGTTGCAGTTGTGATTGGGTGCTGTGAATGATCTTCTTGGTTCTTTCGGTAAAGTCACGTAGAAGGGAAGTAATAAAATAATAAAAATAAAACATAATAAAATAATTCTCACAACGTTTCGGCCACAACGCAAGCAGCCGTCCTCAGGTGAAGAACATGTCTGTCGATAAGACAGAGTCTGTCGATAAGACAGAGTCTGAGACTCACAGTCTGAGACTCAGAGTCTGAGACTCAGAGTCTGAGACTCAGACTCTGTCTTATCGACAGACATGTTCTTCACCTGAGGACGGCTGCTTGCGTTGTGGCCGAAACGTCGTGAGAATTATTTTATTATGTTTTATTTTTATTATTTTATTACTTCCCTTTTACGTGACTTTACCGAAATAACCAAGAAGATGAATCCCTGCAGTCACGAATGCTGTGAATGAATTGCACTGCGCTTTGTACTGAAACTGGGGTCGGTGCAGGGTGATCACTATTTCATTGCTTTCATGGCTTTATTTTGGTGATTTCGAAAAGTTTATTAGTTTAGCCATGTTTGTTTGTTGTAGTACGGAGTAAGACGGATGGCCTTAATCTAAGTTGCCGTGTGGTTGTTGTTATTTGACTTGCATCCCACTGGGATTTTTGCACACAGCGTTGGTGTACGGTGTTTTTTCTGCAATATTTTGCTGTCTTTTCTTGGATTTTCTGTTTGCACTTAGTCACATATTCACTTTAAGATGTTTTCTTGTTCATGTTTTTGTTTTTTGTTTGTTGCGGTTGCACCCGATTCAAGAGCCGAATGGCTCACAGGGCTATACCTAATACATGAACTTGTGAATGAATTGCACTGCTCTGCACTGAAACCGGACTCGGTGGAAATGATAGGCTGAATGAATTGCTATTCGGAGGTGCATGGGAAGGACAACTACATACAAAAAGCAGTTCTAGTTGTCTCAAGACTGCCTTATACAGGGACCTGATAGACCCCGTGTGTGTGTGTCTCACACACTTCGATCATCCTTCCACCAACGCAACGGAGGAGGGAAATAACACGCATTGATCTCCACCTCTAACTGAATTAAACAGAGGGCACTGATTTAAATGAGTACGTGCTCCTTGCTTTGACATGATTCCGAGAAATGGACATTAACGAGAGATATTGAACGAAAACTTATAAGTGCACAAAGAAGCATGGAGCGAGTTGATAGGGTCAATTAATTGCACTGCATTGCACACAAACTAGGGTCGGTGCAGTTTGATGATATAGTTTGATGATATAGAGTGGATTGATTTGCCACTGCATGCATTAATATCGTGATACCTAATTTATTGCCAGAAGGGGTGACACCTATTCTTATTTTTTTATCGTCTTGATACTGGAAAAAAGCTCCCATAGATCTACATATGTAGAGTATTTTGAACTTATTTCGCACCGTACACAGCCAACCGTGATAATCGGAGGCTCATTGCGCGGCACACAAACCGGAGTCGGTGCAAATGAGAGAGTGAATGGATGCACAGGCGACCTGGCTATCACAAATGATAGCTATATCAAGTGGCTTATCACGTGGAAATGAATTGCATCATGCTTCTAAATATGGAGGGAAAAACTGGAGGACCCGGAGATGAATCCACGCGACCAAGGGAAGAGAGACATGCAAACTCCAAATATACAGAGGTCAGGGTCGGTGATCGAACTGACGACATCCTGTATACATCCAGGTGAGGGAGTGGACAATCGATTACTTAAATCCTATAGTGTACTCGTTTATATCCCAGCTCCACTGGCAACAGTTATGAAAGCACCACGTTGCAATGTTATGTAAGCTGAATACGTAATATATATAATTGTGTATTATGTAAATAATTGCTATAACACAATTGAAATTGTCGCTTATATCCAAAAAGAGCTCCCAGCCTTGAATCAAAATAAATATATTGATCAAGATTGACCCAATCACATGAGCATAATAAGGTCCATAAAATTAGTACTCTTTCATCATATGGGTGCACTGGTACTCGCCATACGAATGTAGAATTTTCAGCATCGGATTAAAATATGCTTGCCTATAATTTTTGTCTTCATTAAAAGAAGTTAAATGTTTAGAGCGTCAGCAATTATCCAACTACTGTATATGCCAATTTAAAATGTGTACATCATAAAACATTTTAAAACAAGTGCCACTTATTAACCACTCTCTCAGGCCACTCTGCGTGTGCTGTGAAGTTGGGCCTTTGCCTGAAATGTCGCCTATTATACCATTGTATATAGTTTATTTCCGGGCCACACATTTTTACTGGGGAATGTGAGTTATTTGTATGCTGTAAGCCAGTGGTTCACAATGAGGCGATTAATACATTGTGTGGAATTATATAATACATACATGAGTCATTGGTGAACAATCATGTATGAATGTGGCAATATAAATAACTACGATAACATTTAAATCCATGTGGTAACCTAAACTAATTGCTCGTAACAATACCTGTCAACCCATACGGTTGACCAGTATTCTTGTACAGGGAAGTTGCGTTTTTCAGGTCCATACGGCGTACAGCCGTTTCAATACGGGCAACAAAAAAACATGTTTTGTCTATTTGTTTGTGTTTCTCCCTTGTGATGGGACTTTGTAGGATGAACGTTGAGATCTATAAGGGCACGGGGTGACCAATAAGGTCCCGAATTGGTCTGTAACAAGGTAGGGCATCGATAAGGAGTTGACAGGTATGAGGATAAAATGAACAATTGATTAAAATATTAACGTTTATTATTCGTACCATTATTTTTCTCAGATACCAACCATGTTTGGTGGGGCGGGTGGGGTTGTCGGTTTAAACAAAAACAAAATTGCAACAAGCATTTAAAGAAAAAGGGTTTAGAACCGACTGATTTAAAAGCGACGATTGCCCCATCATTGCCCCGTTTGTGTGTGATCAATAATTATTTAATAAGAATTTCTCAGATACCAACCATGTTTGGGGGGGGGGGGGTCGGTTGAAACAAAAACATTGCAACAAACATTAAAAAAAGGGTTTAGAACCGGCTGATTTAAAAGCCACGATTGCCCCATCATTGCCCCGTTTGTGTGTAATCAATAATTATTTAATAAGAATTTCTCAGATACCAACCATGTTTGATGGGGGCGGGTGGGTGGTGGGTTGAAACAAAACAAAATTGCAACAAGCATTCCAAAGAAAAAAAGGTTTAGAACCGGCTGATTTAAAAGCGACGATTGCCCCATCATTGCGTGTGATCAATAAATATTTAATTAAATGCCGCCGCCTCCCGTCAGCTGACTGTGGTGACGTCACGTGCGCCGTGACGTCACACCTCCCGGGTATCCCCGCCGACACGCAGCCACCAATTCTCTCTCCGCCTCGTCGCCTCCGTCGTCGTCGTTGCTGCTGTTCCAACGTCTCTCGCTATCGTCGACCCAACTTGTTGTTGTTGTTCAATAATTTAGATTGCTAAGATGCCGCTCTTCTCGCCCACCAACCCGTTCGACGGCGACGTGGGTGAGTGCCGCTCTCTTCCTCATCACAACACGAAGCACTGTACCGCGCTCGCACTGTACTCGCATTTTGAACAATTCGCAAATCTGTAATTAACGTACAACTTGCGCAATGTAAATGCGAGTTTACGTCGCCAGGGTAGGCGTAAGGTGTTCACCACGACCGTGGACGCGGAACACAATGGTGTTACCCCCACCACCAAAGTCTCTTTCATGTGTAACGTCATTGCCACACCATGGACATCTGGTGTCGGATCGGTGGCGCAGTGGTTCGTCCCACTGCATTCATTCACGACCACGGTATAACATCGGTGGCGAGTAATATCGAGATCGGTCCGGTTGTTGCTCACACACTTTACCAACCCATCGCTGACCAGCGCGGTGAAGCATGACCAGACACTCACCACGGTTAAGGCCTTTTGCCCCCCACCAGCGGATTATACAAGGCCTGTGAAACACAATGTACATTGATAGCTCGTTTATTATCTTGTGCAAATGATGCGCTTCGACGAGGGAATGTGGAATTTCCACCACTGCTCGTTGGATCTGGAAACACCACTAAGTTCACCTCTACACGTACGAGCATTGTAAACCAGAGGACGTGGATTATTTCATCTCAGGCGGGTAGGTAAGGCCCTCATCCAATAGTGGATTAACAGTGTTTGATAATGATGGCCAATGCTGTGTGGGAATGTGGATTTTCCACCGCTTGTTTCAGGGTCAAGAAGAGAGACGTGTAATGCTCGAGGCATGAGACGGTGTAGCTTTATATTCTTGGTTCTTTCGGTGAAGTCACGTAGAAGGGAAATAATAAAAACAATACAATTATCACGACGTTTCGATTGCAACACAAGCAATCATCATCATCAGGTGTGAAAACCACAGCAAGAACATTTGAAAAAAGTGGCGTTTTTTTCTTAACGCTAGCACTAGTAGATTGCTTGCATACAAATGTCCAGCTTTTATTTTGAGGTTGACTTTGTGATTGAGAGAGGCGGTATCAGAATGAGAATGTTGAGTTCTCCTGGAGGGATCCGTTGAGCTATGAAGCTCTTTTCACGGATGCCCACTAGGGGCGGGTTCAAAACATTACCAGAAGTGGGATTTTAAAGGGATAGAGGTAATGCTTTGCGAGTTAAGTTGTCAAATGAGATAATGTTATCCTTTATTTCGAGGGGTGCAAACAATGAACCCTAAATGGTCCACAAAATGATACTCTTAGATAACGACAACTTTGATTTCCTATAATTTAACTATTTTAAACCATTAAAATATTGCCAAATGTACTGTAATATGGTTGCAGGGGAGAACTGGGAACGATGCAAGGAACGGACCTTAATAATTCACTCGTCAAATAATGACACTTTTCGGTAATGGATTACAGTATTGTAACATTGTGCATTAACCAGGTGAAACCACATTGAGATTGTGAAGTCTATTGTATATTTAATTGGAGACCTGGGGAACTGACTGGATTGGCCAACATTTCAAAAGTTAATCCTTTACATAGCACATCAATTGAAGATAGCCTATTCTTTTTTGACACCCACACATCACCATGATGATGTGGATGTGTATTTTAAAGGAGAACCGAGTACTATACAGGGAAGAAGATGTAATTTTACCCTAGGGAGTTACGTTTTAAAAACAATATGGATATTCGATACAGTTTTTAGCAATTTAAACTGGATTGAAGCGTCATGATTTGTCATGGAATACTTCGAAATGTAAAGAAGGAACTAATGTTTTGCAAATATTTAAGAAATCGTTGTTAAATAGTATTTGTTGAATCAGGTTACAGTTACACGAGTTATGTTGAGTTTTTAAAATATACAGTTGGGTAATTCCCTTGCTTTCATAAGGCGTAACTAGGACCTTGTTGAATCAAACATCAACGTATAGTTAATGTTTTATTTTGGTGTAAGGAATTGTAAATTTTCTGAATACATCTGCATTTAAATGTTAAGCATGCTGCCGTGGTCTAATGGTTATCACACCGGACTTGCAGTCACCAGTTCGATGCAGAATCAGAATCTTATTTATACTGGAGGAATCCGATTAACTATTAGGCCCTTTTCAACGGCTTTTGAAACAATGGAAAAGTTTCTTAATCCCCCCCCACTGCCTCTGTCCACCCAGCAGGATAAATGGGTTCGTCACAGGTGGTCGATTAGGAAAGCTGAGTGGAGTTCAAAAGAACTCGGCCACCTTGTGAAAGACGCAACAGAAGATCCGCCTGGGTTTGGTTCTTCCACGAAGCTCATGGTCCACCCTAAACCACATCCGCACAAACCATGGCAGATGCAGATACCTGATGCATAAAATGAAACTAAAAACTCTCTATTGGGCGACTGTGGTCATCCAGAACAGACTCTACAACATATCACGATGGCAATGCCTGATCCACAAATGCCCTATCTGGCTTAACCACCTCAATGTCAAATTGTAGTTGTTGCTCTGCAACCATACGAAAGAAGATGTTGATTAGACAGGTTGCGTGCAGTGGGGAAACGTGTGGGTACTCCCCCCATCTTTCACGTCGCCTAAGCAGCGCATGGAAGAGTAGGCCAAAGTAGCCTCCAAAGGGGGCTCTCTCGAGCTCCCCCTAGGGGGAGGCCTTTCAGCCAGTAGTGGTGTGAGCAAGTAATTGCAGGGCTGCACCTTTACGTTTTTAGACTTAATTACACGCTTTTATTTAACTCACTCTGTCGTTGTTGTCGTATCTTCAAATCTTGTAACTCAATTTTAACCCACTTTCCAATGTGGTATCGACTGCAAACTTGGTATACTTATGTCATACTGATGACAATACTATATTATATCATAAAAAAATAACAAATATTTTTAAACAATCTTTTTTAGATGTTATGTTTCAGCTTGGGTCTTATTGTCCACGGTAAACTGATGTTGGCTGTAATTGACCACGGTCCCTTCTGTTATGGCAAGCTTCGGGGCCACTTCCTGGAGTCGTGGAGTTCTTCAATTACTAGTAGGGTACATTTCATGAAAGCGTGTTTTTGAAAACGTTTTTTTATATTACTTATGTTGATTTTGTACACTATATTGGCCATATATAATTGTGTACATTATACAAATACTCCACAACCTGTAGCTCTATATTTAACAGTGGAACATTGTGTACCAATAGTATTATTGCTGTAATGTAATATGTTTTGTATTGGTTTAGCAAAGCCTCATTATGTCTCAATACTTCTTCGGAAGGGTCCTAAATTGGGATATTTAACCAAACGTTTTGCAGGGGAAAGAAAACGATAGTGTACCTGGTGAAAACCCATACAATAAGGAGATAACATTTTGAAATCTTCGCAGACAAGTTGCATGTCATCTCTTTAGGTAACCTTGTATAGCCACCGCTTGTTCCACCCAATTCTGCCTCTAAAACGCTAATTATAGAGGTGAGTCATTATACCCCGGCCATTACAGTATGCCCAATGTTTGCACTGTGCTCCTTAAGTGCCTAACAGATTTGATCTGTGGGTTTTCACAATGGGTTTAAGTTGTCCTGCGTTTGTAACACAGATTTTAACACATTTTGGTGAACGTAACACCAAGCGCTACTAACCAATATCATGGTTATGATATCCTTATTATGATAATTGTGGTATGTCTGTCTGTTATGTGGTTTAGAGAGAAAGCATTACTTGTAGCGATTAATGCACCACAAACCCGTCGGCCCGAGTTTGATTTCCGCAAATGGCTAATATCAATGGAAAGTACATGAAATTGTCCTGGGCCTTACCTGGGTCCACTCATCATTAAGTTAATATTTTGTGTGGTGTATAAACATTAGCACTGGAGAGAGAATGGTGGTCAGGTGTGGGATTGGGGCCACACCTACCCCTCTTATATCATTCCAGGCCTTGATAGGTGTTCCAACGACGCTTTTCCGAAGAGTATATAGCTATTGGTGAATGTTTGTGTATGTTTTGGGGTCACCGAACAGAGGACTGGTAAATGTACCATCTGTGCATCTCTACACCATGATTTTTTATTGGGCGCTTGAAGCTGTGTCATGTTTACTCATAGCAACGTTTTATGTCATGTAAACTCAAGTTTTTGCCACTCCAAATGGTCTCACAGTGCACCGAACTTGGCACAAAGTGCTCATTGGTCACATAACTGCTACTTAATGTTGCTGCCTGCTGTGTGCTCGGGTGTGTATGTCCAGAGATTATACATTTACAGTAGTTTATGTACTGCGTTACTATCCTGATTACCTGGGTTCGATTCCCAGCCATATACATTCGTAGCAACGGTTGTCTGAAACTGTTCTTCTGTTCTAGTCCATTTAACCTTAAATTTGGTGCAGTGTTCAGGACACAAGTGACCAGCATTATTACACTTGCCACACCAACCCCTCATTGTGCCTTACTGGCCTTAATAGGTGCTTGCTAAGGGCACTTGCTGCTTTGCTTTTTAAGGTAAATTGAGAGATCTTTGTCCTCTTGTGTACATTTTCTGTGTGTATCTTGTTCATATACAGAACGAGCAACTAGTGAAAGCAACTCAACCGAAGACTGGTCTCTAATCACAGACATCTGCAGTCAAGTTGAAGCATCTCCCAATGGGTAACTTACATTTTACCATTTTTAATCATGTCACATATTACATCGCAGGATCGTGAGAGATGGCGGAGGCTTGGGGAGGCCTTCATCCAGCATCGGATTGCCTATGGCAATGATGATGATAGTCATCTCACATGCCTTCCAAGGTCCATTAAATTAATACAACTTGGTGGGAAATCACAAACATTAATCACCATCATCAATAACTCTGCCTTATAATCGAAAATTATATAATGAGTCGACATTTAAAGTGATGACCTGTCTTCAGAGCAATTGTATGGCCGCATTCCATAGGAATGTGGAGTTTCCTCTACTGGCTCAGAGCCGTCATTGGACATGAGCACTGCTCACTGGAGAAGAGAAACAATTGGACTTTTACTTATTTACAACATTTAAAATTAATACTCTTTGGTTATTTTGCTAAAGTCACGTAGGTAGAAAAAATAAATATTAAATCACGGCGTTTCTATCGCAACACAAGCAATCGTCAACAGGCAAAAAGACACAGCAGCAGAACAAGAAAGGGCTGTCGCAACCAGAGGTGATCTACAGGTTTGAGGTGGGTGTCACCCAAGGGCAAAGTAGACGGGGTCCGTGATGGAAAGGAGTCCCGTTGCCGTGTGCACGGACAACAGCCACGCCAAAGGAGGATTGGCATGCAAATGCTAACGAGCACAATGGGAATAAGTATAACCTGTAAAAACAAAGTTTTTCACTCTAAATCCTTTATATGCGTGGTGGCTAGAGTCCTCTCGTCCTCTGGCTTGAGATGGCTGCCACCTATGGGTCAGATGATTGTCTGCAGTATTAAACAATTGGTAATTAAATATTTAATTTGTTTTCCCTAAACAGTGTAAAATTTTGGAAAAAAAATTTCACGAACATTAATTGTCTCGCATAACGAGTCTGTGTGCTAAATGTCAGATCGATTGGATCACGGGAAGTGGGTTAAAAAACGACCGAAAGGTTTGCACGGTCGTAAGCAAGCAAGCACGCAAGCGAACTTAATATAAAGGATTTAATAAGTATAACCCGTAAAAACAAAGTTTTTCACTCTAAATCCTTTATATGCGTGGCGGCTAGAGTCCTCTCGTCCTCTGGTTTGAGATGGATGCCACCTATGGGTCAGATGATTGCATGCCACCATTAAGCAATTGGTAATTAAATATTTAATTTGTTTTCCCTAAACAGTGTAAAATTTTGAAAAAAAAATTCATGAACATTCATTGTCTCGCATAACGAGTCTGTGTGCAAAATGTCAGCTCGATTGGATCACGGTAAGTGGGTTAAAAAACGACCGAAAGATTTGCACGGTCGTAAGCGCGCAAGCAAGCAAGCGAACTTAATATAAAGGATTTAATAAAGGATTTAAAAATATATTCGCCTGTGGAGGACGCGGGGATCGATCCCGCAACTTTTGGCATGGGAAGCGAGGGCGCTACCAACTGCGCTACTCCGCCAGGGCCTGTGGAGGTGTCACGCTCTGGGCTCCTACACTGTGACGTTCAGCCAAAGCCATGAATGAGTTCTATTTGAATATATGTAAAATAAAACATTTTTGCCTAAAAAGTGTAAAATTTTGGATTTTTTTTTTCACGAACATTAATTGTCACGCACAACGAGTCTGTGTGGAAAATGTCAGCTTGATTGGATCACGGGAAGTGGGTTAAAAAACGACTGAAAGATTTGCACGGTCCTAAGCAAGCAAGCAAGTGAACTTAATATAAAGGATTTAAAAATGAGCACCGTGACGGGACTCATTTCCATCTCGGACCCCACCTACTTGCCCTTGGGTGACACCCACCTCAAACCTGTATGTAAACTCTGGTTGCAACAGCCCTTTCTTGTTCGGCAGTTCTGCTGCTGTGTCTTTCTGCCAGATGACGATTGCTTGTGTTGCGATCGAAACGTCGTGATTGATTATTTCTTTTTTCTACCTACGTGACTTTAGCAAAAGGAACCAAAGAGTGTGGATTCCTGCAGTCACCAAAACTTCAAATCAAGATTTAAAATTAAGTTGAATGTGCTTTATTTTATCCATGTTCGAGCCCTACTCTTTGGTCCTTTCGGTAAAGTCACGTAGAAAGAAATAAAATAATAATAGAATACGACGTTTCGACTGCAACACAAGCAACCATCATCAGGTACAAATTTATGAGAAAACAAACATAGTAAACTTGGAAATATAATGCAATACAACACAGAGTCGGCCAACAAGAGTCAACACCCCACCTGGTTGATTACGTCCTTCAAAAGATTGCTAAATTTTGAGAGATAGACAAAACATAGACACGGAGACACACAGACAGACACAAGCAGAGAGAGACTCACACAGAGACAAACAGAGAGACACACACACACACACATAGGCACACAGAAAGACAACGTCTCTGTGTCGAGGCCTTAAATAGAGAGAGACAGGGGGGGGGGGGGCAGAGGGGGAGTTGTGTGGAATTACTGCCCATATGGGACGGACGAGCTGGACACTGGACTTCTAAACAAACAAGCACGGAGCGTTGTGTGGAATTCCTGCCCATAGCAGCCGGAGGAGAGAATGGACTTGTAAACAAGCACGGTAGAAGGCAAATTTAGTCAAATTAGGAAGTGTAATGCAATGCAACACAGAGAGTCGGTTAGCACACAGTTAACGCATAGCCTGGTTGATTACGTTCTTCCAAAGATTGCTAAATTAGAAGTTAAGTGTGGAACAAACAAGCACGACAAACCCTCCCCGTGGAGGTGGTTCAAACTAGATTCGAAGCTTTCAGTGACTGCAGGAATTACTCTTTGGTTCTTTTTTTAAGTCACATAAAAATAAATCAAATTCAATAATAATAGAATACGACGTTTCGATTGCAACACAAGCAACCATCATCAGGTACAAATGAATGAGTCCATTCAGATTAAATTTTGCAATTTTTTCACATAACCTAGCAGAATAGGTGCAAAGCAACAGCTATTACTTTTGTACTTCATGAGAACACATGTTCTATATATTTTTCACCTGTGTAATGCTTGCAGGTCCAAAGACTGCTTAATGGCAATCATGAAGAGAGTACAGCACAAGGTTCCTTTGGTGGCTATGCATTCTCTGACAGTGAGTATAATCAATGGTGTAGCTAGATTTACAAAAAGCCAGATTATTTGACTATAGGTGCATATGGCATGCGATAAGATGTTCATGGCAGGATAGTGTCGGGTAAGCAACTTTAATGTTTTGAATAGAACATGGCATTGTAGGCTGTGATGGGTAGGCCATGTGTGCAGGATGAAGGAGACTGGATACCAGTACCTGATTTCCACAGCCAGTGGGAACCTGGGTAATGTAGTGCTGGCATTGTGCTGAACCCATGAGGGCTTGGGACCTTGGCCCCTGAGCTCCTCCTGAAGCTGTACTTCATGCTTATAGCAGCGTCAACTCTGGGGTCTGTCAGGCCAAGGCTCGTCCCTCATTACATCTCTCGCTTTGTTTAACTTCCTGGCCATTTTTGTGCTAAAATACTGGAAAATTACAATACACATTTATGCTAACCCAAGTAGTTTTACCTGGCCCATGCTTATATTAAACGCATCAATAACTGAACAAAAAATGTACCACATCGGTTATTGGCATTATTATTTGCCACCACCCTGCGCATGGCTTGGAGGGCGTTTCCTTCATTCGGGAGGCAGATTGTGAGGACTGCCAATGTTTGAAAACGTGGCCTGAGTAATAGTCCACAATAGTGTAATAATTTTTTTGCTGAATAATTGACCACACATTAGGGCCGGGTCGAACTAATGAAGATGATTGTGTTGGTGGTAATAATTACATTTGATTTAGATGATTCCATTGAGACTCGTTATAATGTCGTTAATTTCAATGTTGCAGCTGCTGGAGGCTTGTGTGTCAAGTTGTGGGAAGCCCTTCCAAGTGCAGATTTGCTCGAAGGAATTCTCCGATGAAGTCACGAAGGTTCTGGAGAAGGTGAGTGATGCTGCATCACACCACATACCAATGACACATTGAGAAACATAACAACCTTAACCCTTTCACGTTCCGAGATGTCCCCAAGTTGCAGGGTGGGTCCTGTTCACCTCTGAATCTTGGCACGTGCAAGTGGCTCAGCGTTTAATTAATTTAGAGAGCCGTAGCGCCGTTGTGTTTAAAGACATTGTATTCACCGCAGAGAACTGTAGCGACACAACCGCACTCAATGATAGCTGACATCAAACTGTGCTACACGCCCTCCCGCATGGCCTGGTGGGAGCCTCGATACTGATAATGTTATTTTATTTTAGTTTTTCTTCCGGTTTCGTTTTCATTATGTACACATAAGTCATCGGAACGGAATCGGAAGAAAAACTAATGACGTACACGTACATCACGGGAACGGGAAAGGATTAATTTGTAACATAGACACCAAAGCCAGTGTGCCCCCAAGTTTACATCCCACTCTAAAGATATCCAACCGTGTTTATCCTGTGAAAACATTACACCCACTGCCATAGGGATCAAAGTTTTCAACACTGGCTCAGAACCTCCAGTGGTCATAATTGACACCGCACACTTGCCGAGCAAGGATATACTTAATTGGAAATGTTTAAGAGTGCCCTAAACTAACTGTGGTTTGACAGCTTAAAAAAAAGAGAAATAGAATCTCAGTAGATGTTCTCTGTTGGTTAAATAGCTTGTCAATGTCTTCTTGCTCCATGGATGGATAATGGACAGCAGCAACTCACAAATGGAATTTGAATAAACTCCCTGTCTGATTGCAAGTTGAGCAGTGCTACTCAGCCAGATGATGGTAAAACATTTTTTTTGAATATAGATTATTTAGTGTAACCAGGTGAGAATTCAAGAGACCAGGAATGTATAATCCCAATGGATTAATTTGCGGGTAATTTCTTTTTTACAACTTTGGACCCTGCCGATGGCACAGTGCGAATTATGCCAGGGATCTTTAATATCCGTCTCCTGTGAAGCAGATGGATCGCATTGTTATGGTTATCAAACTCGCAGTAACAGTCAAGGCGGCTGCTGTATTTGAAAACTCTACAACAAGTGACGAACGCAACTACTGCTAGGCCTTGTGGTTTTCACACCTGATGATGATTGCTTGTGTTGCAATCGAATCGTCGTGAGGATTTTTTTATATTTTTTTATTATTTCCCTTCTACGTGACTTTACCGAAAGAACCAAGAATATGAATCCCTGCAGTCACGAATGTTTTGTACTCGTTTATACTGTTGAGTGGATAGAGGCTGGGGAATTTAAGAAACGTTACCGCTCTTTCACCTGCCGCGCCAGGAGATCAAATCAAAGCAGTGACCTCTGGATTGCACGGGCGGTGTGCTGACCATTCCACCAAGGCTGCACCTGAATATGAATTCATTTAAATAAAATTGCAGGTAAATGTTGGGTTATGCTTTGATTATTGGTTGTGATTGCAGGCACATCCGAAGGTGTGCGATCGATTAAAGGCAATGCTGGTGGAGTGGTGGGAGAAGTTTAAGAATGACTCCCAGATGTGTCTCCTCTTCTTCATCATCAAGAATCTAAAGGATAAGGAAATTGAGTTTCCGGCCCTTGGCTCAAAGGTACAGGCACATTGACAGCTTGTGCGTGTTGTTTCTTGTATTGTTATTGTAGTCAACTTATTGCTATTATCATTTGCATCTCAATTGCTTATATCATCATCTAATCAGTCCATCATTGTGAACATGGTCATCATTATCATCATCACTGTCGCCTGCTGATGAGCTGGCCTGGCTGCTATCAATGATCTGTATAATGTGACGTGCTTGTGATTACACAGGAGATGGAGGCTGCTAAGGCTGGCTTTGGATCCCCTGCAAAGGAGCCTTCAAAAGGTGTGGTCAGGTCAAAGGAGGAAGATGATCTTGCAAAAGGTTTGTGTATAGTCATCATCATACATCCATCAATTATCAACTGCCTCCTCATTAACATCCACTTGATTAGTAGTTACAAAACAAAAGGTGTAGAGGACACTAAAGACCCCATGGCATTGTTCGACATAATAGACAAATGTGTGTCAGTGGCAGGCAACATACACATTTTAAAAGCATGCACAACATGTAAAATATATAATGTGTTTCGAGGCCTTGACTCATAATCAGAAGGTTATAAGTTGCAATTATGGTACGAGACTGATTTGGCCCATCATTCCTACCAGGTCTGGTAAAATTACTACTGCTTCATCATTAATTTAGCTACAGGTATAGCTAAGATGCAATACAACTAAATCATAAGCAGATCTGTCATATCACCTTCCAAAAGGTTGTTCTCAAACATTGGGTGATGCCCTGCTATCTGTGAAAGTTCAGAATGGACATATTCGTCTCGCTATGCCTCTAGCACAATTATATAATTGGGAACAAGACAAATTTATATAAACACTGCATATTCTATGGAGAGACTGGCCACAGGCATGAAAGTGTGGAATCTCAACTGCTGCCTTATGGTAGAGCTGTAGCTGAGCACAACCTCGTAAAAAAAAACGTATTTTATCAGGTAAGGCCCACTCAGCCTCTATAGCCATTTTCAGAAGCGACCTGGCCACAAATGATAGCTCAACAAAGTGGCTTATCATGTGGAAATGTATTGCAGCCAAATACTCTTAAACACATGTTTCTAAATGTGGGGGGGAAAACTGGAGGACCTGGAGAAAAATACACGCGACCATGGGGAAAACTTTCCAACTCCAAATATACAGGAGTCAGGGTTGGGATCGAACCCATGACTCCTGTATAACAGGGGAGGTATTTAACATCTCGCCACCGTGCTCATTCAAACACAGAGACACGTTGACTCGTTTGTGCAATTCTGTTTCTCATGTCTCTCCCTCCCCCTCTTTTAGCCATCGAGCTTTCTATCAAGGAGCAAAAGCAGTATCCTTCATTGTCCGGTGTTGGAGGCTCCTCCTCTTCCACCACCTCGTCAGTCGGCCCGTCGCTCGCCTCCCCACCGAGCCTGTACCCACAGGCTGTAATGACATCCATCCCGCTCGGAGCACCGAGCGGTGTAGTGCGTAAAGTGCGCGCCTTGTACGACTTCGAAGCAGCCGAAGATAATGAGCTGACCTTCAGGGCTGGAGAAATCTTGACTGTGCTGGATGACAGGTACAGACAGCCATTGTTTTTTATAAATAAAAAATACTTTAAAACAATTAAGTTCACTCGGTCGTTCAGGGGATGGGTAATGCCAGATTATAACTACGAACTGACACTTCAAATTAGGGTAGCCACATTATTAAACTGTGTTCTCAAGCAGAGTGAGTCAATTCACTCAACCTGGTGATGAATGACCCTCCAAAAAAATGGTATTATTCAGCTTTAAAGGCTGTACCCTCCATGTGTGCATATTGCGGCCTATTGAAGTGATTTCGGAAGTACTTATATTATGCTATCACTGCTAGTTGCGAGAGTTGTGAATGGAAATGTATCTGTCCCATGACATGGGTACAGTTTCACAATTGGAATATTTATATGGGAGAAAAAATAAAAAAATAAGTTCAAATCAATGCCATTGATGTTAAGTCAACTCACCATCGCATGGTTATGCGTCCACTGTTGCACTGCAAACACATTACCTCTAAGGTGTGCTCTTATACAGTATCAAGACCACAACTGCATTTCAGTCTTCCTGGTTGCTGACCTTGGAGTGTCACTCCAATGCCTGTCTCAGAAGCCTGTCTACCTTTAAAATGAATGTGCCCCACTTACTGCAACCTCCTCTTCCTGTTTGTCGACAATGCTTTCTTGCCATTTGCTATTTCCAAGTTGCTTAGCCTCTCCTATGATATTCCTAGTGAGACAACTAGGAATTGTGAACATTTCACCTGGATGATAAAGCAATATTCATCGATATCAATGTGTCAATTGACATCTGTTTGTTTAAATATGAAATTAGTGCCACCTTACCCCGCTACAGGATTGTGTGCTGTCTTTTTACGGATTGTTTAATTCTCATCTGCGCACTCGGCTGCATAGACTTGCGAAGAGTGACTCCCACAATACATCATGTATGAAGATGGATTAATATTTCCCCAAAAAATGTTTTTGTTAAAATGTCACAGCTCTGGATCGGTTTTAACTTAATGGGTGGGCCTTTTTATAATTATTGTTACTGGGAGGCCTGATATCAAACGCAAGAATCATCCATTAAGTTATGATGTTGAAATAAATGTGTCACCCTGCTCAAATGAGCATTGGAGTTGCATCAACTCCACTGCTGATCTTGAGGCACTTTAACCCACTGCACCACACAGCCAGGTAGTTGAGTGGTAACATAAGATACTATATAAATAGGATTCTCACTAAAGCCCTGTTGTGGTTTGGTCTGTGTGTAGCGATGCCAACTGGTGGAAAGGCGAGACAGAGAGTGGCCTCGGGTTGTTTCCCTCCAACTTTGTGACGGCTGATCTCACCGCAGAACCAGAGAGTGGTAAATTTTGTCCTTCATGATCATCAACAATTAACACTGTCATCATCGTTGACATCATCATCGACATGAGCTTCTGTAATTGACGCTTGTAATCAAATCATCTGTGTTTGGTGTTTGAACATCATCATCTATAATCAACATTTAACTATATATAAATGTAACAATTCATAATCATCAAATTTACCACCCTCAACATCATACTAATATTGATTTATTTAAGAATGTCTGTCAATCATTCCCATTGTAACAAAAAGTAGTAAATGGATGAGGAATACCCCAAAATTCTACAAAACAAATCCCCCCCTATCAAAAACGCTAGATTATTTTGAAAGGGCATCAGCTGGCTTGGACATTGAGCAAAAATGTTTAATGTTAGACAAGAATCACCTTGCCAATTGTTGCCTCACTGCTATATGCAAGTCGAAAAATAAATAGACATTGATTGAATACTAGGGAGGGCACAAAAGAACATGTTTAGACAAGGCAAAGAGAGTAGGCCTAGCACGCCACTCGTAATTAATCTATTGCAACAATCTGACGACAACTTTGGACACAGCCGTAATGGCGAGACATGCCGAAGCTAGTATTACACCGCCCATGCCTGTAATCCAACGCTTCGAAGGGAGGGTTTGTAGATCACGCAGAGATCGCCACATGCTTGAAACGCCCCACCTGAAGCTATGTATCTGTGTATGTTGAACTTTTTTTGCACCGTACGTCGCCAGCTGTGCTAATCGGAGGTGCGGGGGAAGGCCAACAAACTAATCACAAAAAGCAGTTCTAAATAAATTAGTTTTCAATCTATGTTTAAAAGAGCATAGCTCCAGTGGCTTCCTAGTATCGGAAGGAAGAGCGTTCCAGATGGCCGCAGAGGCGCATCTGGAAGCGCGCGATGCAGTGACCGTCGAAAGCTATGACTTAGAATACAGTACAGTAGGTAGGTTTTTACCTATAAGACCTATTCCCACATTTGTGTAGATTTAACCTGGGCAGTTGTTTCCTCCACAGCAGGACCCTCAAAGTGTATTTAAAGTCAGCAAGGATGTCCTGGATAACTAAAGGACATTTGTCTTTTTGAATGGCTGTGTGGGTTTTATGTGTGCAGTGCGAAGGTACGAGATCAGGGAAGAACCAGAGGAAGTTCCCACTGCCGAACCTGACCCAGAACCCCTGTCTATTAATGAGGTGAAGGTGCACACACCGGCCAGACGGTGGCTCGCAAGTGAGCTTCATATCTAAAATTCACCCTGCCACATTTGATCCTTTGCAAATTCACCAGCACAACGAGTGTACCGAAGCAGTGCAAGGTGACGTGGCCCAGCAGTAGCGCGTTTGCCACTTATTGCAGAGGTTCGTGGTTCGAATTCGGCAGGGGTGCCCTCATTAATCCTGTGGATGTTTAACACATGGGAGTAGGCTTTTATGACGAATATCCATAATCGAGTTTTTTTTGGGTTATATTGCGTAAATATAAATGTGTCGTTAAACCCAAACCACCCGACATAGCCAATTAGTAAGGTTTGTCACGTAAACAAAATGTGCTAATTAGTTACAGCTTGAGCACACTGGTGCCTTGGAGAGTAAACCTACAACATTTACAATTCGAGTACATCGTTTCACTGGTGAGTACTGTGGATGTATGAACCATGATATACGCGCGAAATGAACCATGCCTCAAAGTTGACATCGGAGATCCCATAACCTTATTAAAAGAAGAGAAGGCCATTGTGTGTTTTCGCGTCATGGTCCAAGATTACTCCAAAAATTACTTAATTGGGAAACGCATAGCAATTATCACCGCTGCTGTAACAAAAAACTTGGCAAAGCCTTCCTGGAAAAGAGTTTGGTATTTGGTCAGGAATTCCTGGATTTAAAAAAAAATGTTCATAATAATAGTTATAATGACTAGATTTGTTGCATTATTTCTGACTTTTCCTGGGGTTAGTCTAATTTAATAGCAGCCATCCTATGGAGACTGCCACACCACTGGGGTAGATAATTTCTAACACTGCTGCAGGGCCACGGATGGAGATTGCACCATTCCACATTGCTTGTTTTAACAGAAATAAACTTTGAATTTAACATGTCACAATCAAGTCAAAGTGGGCTCCCCGTTCAATATTATAGCCGCACATGCCTCTAGATGCTGGCACAGCAGAACTGAACCCCAACACAGTCTGACCGCGGGATGTTTTTGTGTACAGGAGCGCATGGATCACGTGCTGCACATGTTGCAAAGCCTGGATCCCAAAGATGATCGTCCTGAGTCTGCAGAACTACTACGTCTTGAAGGTTCCTCCGAATTATAGTCACGATAGTACAACGCCAGTAGCATTATTATGATACTAAATACATGTTTAGATTGTTGTAGCTGCCTCGTAACTTCTGCCAGTGGTCATTACTGAGTATACCGTAATGTTCCTCTGTTATAGGCCAGATGCAATTTTTTAAAAGTTTTACCCACAAACTAAACTTTCGTAAAAGCAAATGTATCTGCATGGGTGATGGGGATCAAGTGCTTGACTCGCAATCTGAAGGTTGTGAGTTCAAATTCTGGTCGGGAGTCAAGTTCGCCAATTGTTTCTCTGGAGTTGATAATACAGGTCCCTGCCATAGGAATGTTGAATTTCTGCTATCTCAGAGTTGCTGTTGAAGATCAGCAGACTAATTTGGGCAGGAAGATACTTTTGTCTCTAAACATTTTGATATAAGAACAGTTTTTACTTAATAACATTTACCATCATATTATTGGTTCTTTCGGTAAAGTCACGTAGAAGGGAAATAATAAAATAATAAAATACAATTCTCACGATGTTTTCACAGCAAGAACATTTTCTTGCTGTGGTTTTCACACCTGATGATGATTGCTTGTGTTGCAATCGAAACGTCGTGAGAATTTTATAGTTTTATTTGTATTTTTTTTATTATTTCCCTTCTCCGTGACTTTACCAAAAGAACCAAGAATATGAATCCCTGCAGTCACGAAAGCTTTAAATCGAAGTTTACCGTTATGTTATTTAAAAGAGCAATCAATGTACAGGCTTCGTCACCTGCTTAAGTGAAGGATATGGAATTGACTTTAAACAAGCCAGTGATTCCTGGCTGAAGTTATGAGTAAAGCATCATGTGTGCCTCGCATATGTTGCTGTTCACAGAATCTTGCCACCAGATGGGGCCGTTGATTGACCAGAAGTTGGAAGAAATAGACAGGTAACGTCAGATGTCCGATGCTCATGCACTGTACTTGCAGGTGGTTAAACATACAGAAGCATTACATCCCGGTTCTATCAGTCGTCTCATGAGGATGAAGAAAAGTTAATTTTACTTATTGCACAACTCGCCACACTTGAGAACCTAATGAATGACCCAAATGCACATTTGAAACCAGGCCCCCCCCCCCCCATAGGTGGCACAAGATTAGTGCTTTGACGCAGCCGTCGCAATCCCACTCAAAATTCTCGCAGTCTTCAGCATCACAGGCAGGAGATATGAGAAGCAGAAGAGTGGATTTCAGATAACTCTCATTGATCAAAATGTGATAATTGTTTTTTTACCCTTTTATCTGGCAATAAAACTGACACCTTTTATACAATTAGTCATGTTTGCATTGACCACAATACCTGCGGTCGGAATGCAAACAAAAAACACAACTCTGATAATGTATGCACTGTCCTTGAAATTGATTGGTCCACACCCGAGACAGCTTTTCTTAGAGCCTCGCCTCCAATGGTGATCAAAATGTATTCGAATGTTCGCCACATAAATTACATGTTTTATGACAGATGTAGCAAGACTCGCTGTGTAAATGTGATTGATAGGTTAACCTAGGTAGGTCAGTGAGTGGCATTATTGGATTTATTTTGTGTGAATTCACTTGGGATGCTTTGTGAGAAAAATAAAACGATTTACCCTTCTGCCTAAGGTTTTATGAAGCTGCTAAAATAACTCAAATTTGCAATGTGGAGAATGGGCAGTATTTAAAATATATATTATTTGTCTATTAAGACAAAATGTGCAAAGATAACACTTTTTAAGATGGAAACTTCAATCTCTGCAAACTATAATTTTGCTTCATTTGTTGATACTGCTGGATATGTTGCATGTAAACATGCCTCGATCATTGACACCTGCCAGAGGACCATACGTCTTCACCATGACCTGGAATCCACTTGCCAGAAATTGACTCCCTGTACAATAACAGGGTCAACGTGACGTGATACGGTAAAGTAGTGTGGGGCAGTGCTCGCCTTCATTAGTTCCCCCTGAGCCACATTCTCACGTTGATGGTCGGTGTCTGCGTCAGATAGTCACTCTGGCTTTTAACAAATTCGTGGTCCGAGTCAACCACTCATCAGGCATTTCGCCCATGATCTTGTGATTTTCGGTCGAGCGCTATCGACAGCACCGTCTATTAACATCTTGTGATGTTAATAGTAAATAGTTGTATTCCTCTGGGAAGTTTTCGCTGAGAATCAAGATTCGTTTTTTTTTTCATGGGTATCCTCCATTTTCATGAGTGTCCTGCATTTGGATTTTTGGCTAATTTCACACTTGGATATTTTCGCGCATGAGAGAATGAGAGTGTCCAAGAAAAAAAAACACATTCCATACAAACCTGTGCATAACACTGAAAACAAATGCACAGATTGTCCACATCCTTTTTGTAAAATGTGTTTTTGCTACTTTCACACTATTTGCCTTCTAAACCTGTGTTAACCAGGAGGGTCTGTGCAAGCAATCAAGAAAACCAGAGTAGTTTTTACGTTTTGATTTCAGGCTAACTAAAATAAATGCTTTGATTTACTAGATTGTATTGGAAAGGCCACTCCCTGTAAAAATGTGGGGTTTTTTTTCAGCACGAAAAGTGATTCTGATATATGTTGCTGTTTAGCCAATCCTCGTATTGATAGACCCACATACAAAAAAAAATACAGAGAGGTTAGAAACCCTAGTTATGCTATCAACTACTTTCCACCTCATAGTCATGCGTGTGATATTCTCTGCATGATTCACCAACCCTGCCTCCAAGTCTGCTGCATTACCGGCATCCACCATCTAAGTCTCGTGTGGTCCAGTGGGCAAATGACTTAAGTGTGTGTGCGGACGTAGCCGTAAGACTATAAGAAGGGCACACTGAGCCGCAAGCATCTGCTGTCAGTTCTACCGGCCTCACTGCTCCCTCCCTGCATCTCCATTGTCCCTCACTCGCGCTCATGCAAACAGGAAGCACTCGGAGCTCTCGGAGATGAATGCAAACCTTGGCGACGCCATTAGCTTGTACAATCGGCTGATGAAGGAGACTCATTACTACTGCCCCTACTCCAAGGTGCACACCGAGCATCAGTACTACCCTGGCCAGCAATCTGCCTCAGGGTCACAGGTATGCCTATTCAACCACCTCGGTGCATGGCTATTACCAATGCTATACTCGCTATAAGGTAAAACTAATCTCCTTTATCCAGGACACGAGCAACAATGGGCTGAGTGTCGGATGAATAAAACGCAGCAAGTTGACGCAATGGGGAAGAGCCCAGGTGGCGTGTGTGCAAACTTGTAACATCTGGCTCTGTCATTTGACTGACTGCTAGTAGGCAACGCCACTGTATATGGATTCTAAGTCCACCTAGCCTCGTCTGGCAATCGTGTTATGGTGGCATCATAGCCACTTAATGGTGAATATCAGCTCTTGTTATGTATGCGGGCTTGTGTATGTATGCTGTGTTCGTCTACGTGCCTGCGTTTGTATTCCATGCTTGTATGTGTGCATGCACACTCGTGTGTATGTGTGTGCGCACATTTGCACTTTTTGCAGGGTTATGCTGGGCCAAGCGGGCCTCACTATGCACCCCCGCAAGGCTACGTGCCCCCCAATGAACAGCCGGCCCCCTTGAACTCACTGCCACAATTCCCGACTGCACCTCATCATGTCCAGCCGCCCCCACAGCACACAACTAACCCCAGGTGTGTTATGGATTAGCGGTGTTGGCTACGAAGTTCAAAGTACAAAAATGAAGGATGTGTATCTAAGTATGCAATTATATCGAAGGATCACAAGACATGGTTGCCACTTAGGGGGAGGCCTTTATTCAACAGGGGATTTACCATGGGTTTGGGTGTGTTTTTGCGTGAGTATATGCTGTATGTTTACGTGAAGATTGGTGGCGCAGCAGTTCATGCGCACCATTGCACTGCCATCCTGGTGACCTGATTAAATTCCCAGGTGGGCCCTCCTTTAAGTAAACTCAGATGTCAATGGGTAGCTGGAGTGGTGTGTAAACAGAAGTACTGGGGAGACAATAGTGACCAGGCAGGCAGGTTTTGCCGCTGGCCACACCATCCACTCATGTTCAGTATCGGTCATAATAGTCGTTCGACAACAGCACTTGCCCCTACAGTCTGTAAAACTAAACTGGGCTATGTTTGCCTTGTTTGTATTTTACATGGATTTAATATGGGTATCCCCTGGTACAGCCGAACCATATTTTGCTTTGTAAACATTGGCCTTAATACGGAGAGACAGCCCCCCTCCATAGGAATGTGGAATTGCTCCTGCTTGCTGACTCAGGACTGCCAAGAGAGCGGAGTACCACTTAGTCGTTGACCAAATCACCCAGAATACACCCATTCGCATCTGATCTCGGAATGCTAAGGAGGGTTTAGTCGAGTTAAGTGCTTTGATGGGTGACCCCCAGGTTCAAAAAAGTTGAATATACGTTGTGGGCAGTAGAGGGCAGTGCAGCAAAAGTTTTGCACTCCCCCCACAATATCCCTCATGGTCCACGAGGCGTGGAGAGGCCCTCATCCAGCATTGGATTGACGAAAAACGAGATGCACATTATTATTGTGATTATTTTGCGTGTTTGACCAGGAAAGCCTCACTTGAGTTTCAGAACTTTTTTTCCCAGAGGGGGGTCACAGGGTGGGGCGGGGGGGGGGGGGTTATTGCCGTGTATATTCCCATTGAGTAATTTGCGGCTAATTTTCTAATTTGGCTAATTTCAGCCATGAGGTCGGCACACAATGGCCTGCTCTTGCCGATTGAGGTCATGGGATCTTTAACGTGCACTGTGAAAGTGGATGGCGTGTAGTATTTTAATAATTGATATACGTGGCATTAATCAGGGCGGCCGATGAATTATTTACATGAATCTCTGCAACAAGCGGCAAACGCATGTACTGCTCAACCACTCATTTGAGCATAGAAATGCTGGTTATTCTCATTAACAGGGTTTATGCTGATATTTCATTACAGCATTGGTGTCGGCTCCATGCCACCTGCAATGCAGTACGCATCTCTACCGGCAATGGCCGGGCAGGCGGCAAGCTACGCTCCCTCGCATCCGTACGGGACGCCTCCGATGCCACCAGCCTTTGCTAGCCAACAGCAGCCTTCTGGATATCCGCCACAGCAGCAGCAACAGCAATATCCAGGATACCAGGTGCACAATCAAGTGTCTGTGAACCCAGGTTATGTGTCTGCACAACCGCTTATTCATGCACAGGCCCAACACATGCACCAGCCTTTGCTGTAAGCGTGTCTCATATACAGGTGCTAAGGCAAGAGTCAAGAGTGTCTCCCTACTCAAGCAATACGACATCACTCGTCTCTGTTGGTGGCCCAAAGCCCACGTTTAAAATTACAAATTCCCATGGTGGAAGTGAAGTATCGTTGACTTCCCACAAAAATGCTACTCATTTTATTTAAGCCGGATAAACGATGGTCTTAGTCGACCCCCAAGAAAGATTTGAACTTGTATAGCCTCATATAATTACGTTATGCATTTGTGAGCATTGGCACCCAGCCAGATTATGGAGTCCATTATAAATTGTCCCAAAAAATTGATTAAATACTCCATTAGCTTGATATTTTAATATTTCATTGCCTGGGACTGGGTTTATCAAACTCTATTCTCTTTTGGCCAGGATACATTAACAATTGACAATCGCATGCAAAGGTGTAGGACCTGATTAATTACAAGAATCTTAAAAAAAAATTGATCTGGCTCATACTATATGATCTAGGATTTCTACCACTGCTCAGAGCTGCCAACACCGATGATCACCACCCTGCACTCATTTGACTGTGGAGAAAATTTATCTTGAAATGCCTCTGGCTCACGAGATTATTTTAGTTTGAGGGTCCTGTATTGGGGTGTTTTGGCAAAACGTGTTTGTTTTTGGACAAAACTATGGTACTCGGACAACACACTTGCATACAAAGGAGCAACTCTGGAGGTCAGTATCCCGCTTGTTGTACTGTCATATACTGGCCACCTCCACATCCCAGCGCATTGGGAGTCAAGCGCGTGATGGTGTCGTTAGTAGATCTGCCGGCCTTTTACTGTTGCCGTGCTGAATTCAAGGCTACACGTGGCTACCCTTGGCTGGCATATATTTCATGACGTAATCTCGGCAACCAGAACAAAGTAGAAGTTGGTGTGGAATGAGAACTGGAATTCGAAGACAAGCGGTTGCTAAGATGTGATCCAAGACTGCAATGATTTTGTAGTTAATCCGTTACTTTTTAAACATCCTGTTTTGATTCCTTTTGCATTATTAACCTTACCTTTAACTACAATGTGAAATTTGTATGGGATTTATATCAACGATCACATCAGAGGGCATTTAATTACAATATAATTTGACAAAAAAACGTACCAACAATAAAGTTCTGTACAGCTGCCCTATTTTCTGATTTATTTATTTTTATTGGCACAACTCATTCCAGTAACTCGCTACTGTTTTTGCATAGCCATTTCCAATAAGTCACTTTTGGCATGGGTGTTGTGACTGATATTTTGGTGTAGTTACTGCTGAAAAAAAACATTCAATAATTTTCATATAATTGTTTTATAAATTGTCTACACTATATTTAAATAATGATAACAAAAAAACTGCTTAAATGACAACTATAGTTGTTATATCCTGTCCTGAAAAAAAAACGACTGTTGCAGTAAAATATGTAAATAAATATCACGGTACACGGAGTTTAAACTGTATGTGGTTCATGTTGCCTTGTCTTTTTTTATATGAGCAGAAATGTATTTAAGAATGAATTAATTTAGCAAGAACTGATGATTATTAATCTGGCATTGGCATTTGTTTGCAAGAATTTGCGTCTGTCAACTTAGCGGTGACATTTATGGCGTAACAAATTGCTTCTCGGAATATGGATTCCCCAAAGCAGGAGGTAGGTGGTTGGGTGCATTAACTAATTCTTGTCATTGGGTCCAATGTAACGTTTGATGGCTTGGCATTGACGGCGTACTTTAAAAACAGTGTTCTTTGAGTCGATGATGGCATTAGCTGATAGCCAAACGTAAATATATGCCATACGCGTATGGCGTATGAGTGTTGAGCCTTGCTAATCTCTCTGTTGGCTGCTTAGAGCCAGCGCTGGAGTAGGGGAGGAGGGGTCCAGAGCCGCATGCGGCTCTTTAAGGACTGCTTCGTGACGTCATTTATGACCACCGTCTCCCATTGCGGCTCTTGAAATATAGATTGTTTTTTTTACTGAAATCAAATACAAATGGCTATTCCTGTTATTCTGGTTGCCGGCCTCTGGCTTGGCGTTTTATTGATATTGGTTTCAGGTTGATTTGTTGAACCAGGTGAGAACTTCCAAGAGGTCAGGGTGTTTCATTTTTTTGGTCACTTCCCAAGAAAGTGGTGCGCTTTTTATTCTACCTAGCAGGATGGAAAGCACGTGAAAAGTTGAGTCAATCCAAATGGCAAGTTCTCGTATGTTCCTGACTTATAGCTACAACCCAACGTTTGTGCAACATCATTGACACATCCACAGTTTAAATTACAAAGATAAACAGTAAAAGTACTTGAAGGACACTGTTTTGCGCACGTAAATGCAAGTTTGTTTTGTTTGTAATTTTCTTCCGGCTTTTTTTTTGTCTAGTGTTTCTATTCCTTTTGGAAAGCATAACTCAAAGCATAAGAAATATAATAAAAATGTTGTGTAAGTTAAATGTCTATTTTATGTGCGATGGAGCCAGAATGTATACATTTACTACACACAATGGTCTGCAACAGTATGCTTGTATGGATTTTATGGTTTTCATATTTAAAGAATAATATGTTAAATATAATAAAACAGTTTTGTTGTAAAATGATATTGTATGTAAGGTCGTTACCTATTTTGTTGTATGTTTATACTGTATTTTATTATTAAAGGCAACATTTTGAAGTGTGAACAGAATTTTGCGTATTTGTTTTTAGCTGGTTTTTAGTTTGGGGACTCGCCATTCGTGTTCCTTTTGCGCTCTGTAAAGCGAAATCACAGGATGAAAAATACCGATCACATGCAACTCCTTCAATCGGCAGGGCCTCGTGTCAGGGAACAGTCCGGAAAGAGGACACCACAAAACTACTTCTGAAATCGCTTCAATCGGCGCCTATCACCCACAACGATGTGGTGCTTCTTACTACCCTCAAGGAATGGTTCGCTGCATGACAGTCATGCAATGCATTAACAAATGATAGCCCTTAAAGCTGGGTGAGATTTGTCTGAAACCAACTGTGGTACACCTGTATTCACCCAAATGTGTTACGCATGCATGTGTGAGAGGCCGCGAAGACCCAATTACGATCTCTCGCCGCCCAGTTTCGGTTCCTGGCTGTGATGCACGACACCAGGAGCAAATGTCATTGGTGTTGTGCATGTATGCCCGTTGGCCTAGCAGAGAGGATCTTGAATTATGGCCAGTGACAGGCTCTGCTGAGGGGGAGGTTCCTGAAATCTTTACCTTAACCAAAAAGGGAATCTGCTAGGCCAACTCTTAAATATGTAAACTTGGTGCAACATTATAGATTTGAAGTTTTCATGACTGTAAGGATCCATACTCTTTGGTTCTTTCGGTAAAGTCATGTAGATGAAAAATAAAAATAATAAAATGAAAATAACTGCATTAAATGCGACATTTAACATGTAGGTCCTCGTGCTATCCATAAGAGGTTTTTTTGGGTTAGATCACGTAAATATAAATATGTCGTTAAATCCGCCACCACCCACAGCCAATTAGTAAGGATTGTCACGTAAAACAAAGATGCCAATTAGTTACTAGTTCAGCACACCGGTGTGTTGGAGAGTAAACCCAAAGCATTTACAATTCGAGTACGGCGAAACTTCGCACTAGGAAAAACGTTTACATGACAAACATGACTAATTGGCTGTGGCGGGTTTAACGACACATTTACGCGATCTTACCCAAACAACCTCTTATTGGTGTAAAGTGAATATCAGCAGCAATGCAGAAAACAGGTGGTGGAGCACGTGGTACTGGCAGCAACCACCCCTATGTATACTGCACCAGCCTTAATAGGTGGCCATTGACAGTCGTACCCCAACTGTTCTACACTCAGTTTGGGGATTATTTGTGTGGTATTACAATGGTTACCACAGTGTTCCACGAATCCGTGATCAGAGTTTCATTTACGGCCAAAGATAACATCAGAGGCAAGTTGAAAACCTAAACTTGTTCTAGACCTCCCGTCAAATGTTAACTAAGCCTTAAGCGCCGAGTGTGGTGGGTAAATGTCATCACTGGGGAGACAAAGGTGGATTAGTGTGGCGCTGGCTACACTTTACCTTCATGCACTGTGGCCAGGCGTAAGAAATGCTTGCTAACAACAATCCATAAGAAATATGGGGACTCATCTTTTGTACTCTAAATGTGACTTGGGGATACGGCTGGAAATGAATTGTGCATAAACGTACCATTAATATGCCCATGGTTGGCAATTTTGGAGCATCAACATCAGGAAACCGTACACTCTTCAAATAATTGCGAAGTTTCTCGTTACGAAGTTTCCATGACACGCATTCAGGCAAATGCACATTCTCACGCTGTTGGTAACGTTTTCAGTTCCATTTGTAAAAAAAATCTACATGGTGTTTTTCTTTCTTAAATTACCCGAGGAAATGTTTCATCGCCAGGATTGCAAATGAAATGTTTGCACTGTTGATAATGTAGAAAGTTTCATTTGTAAAACATCTAAATAATGTTATGTTATTATTTTTGTTTTAATACGGTACTGAATATTCCTGAGCACCGGGATGGCCTAATTATTTTCATTGATGTGGCTCGTTGAAATAGTTCAGTGTTTTAAATGCCACACTGGCTCGATAATCAATGCAGCCAATGTCAATGATGTTGCCACACATTGCCATCGCTTTTTTCCTTTCATCTGCCAGGCCCTGTACTCATTACCCAGTCGAGACAAACTCCCAGGTCTACTTTTAAGGTATTTCAACCAGTCCCAGCTAGCGCAATAAACTCATTTATATTTTGAATTCTGTTTCATCAAACTTTTCTCAACCTTTGACAGTACTCATGCTATTTTGTTTTCTCTATTTTCTAAGGAAAGCCTCGGTGAGTCTTACTTGCTTTTGTAAGCAGCCGGCATTGCTTTAAATATTCCGCAAATTCATGTTGAGTGTTACGAGGAAATTATTATTTGCACAATTAACGTATACAACACAGTATTGAACGTTTAACGTTATTGTTTCAATGTGATATGTCAGAGAAAAACAATCCATAACATGGTAGATGAAACTTAGAGGAGGTAATATTGAATCCTGCCAGAGAGTGATCAGAAACCTACTTTCTGCTGACGATGCAACTTTGATCCAAATATTGATCAACCTCGACAACATTTGCACTTTACCTGGCCTAATTTCTCCTTCCATTTCCCTCGTAACGCAAGCTATAGGCACTCTCAGAAAGCACTTCAGGTGCGGGGGTGCCCTTGGCTGCTCTCTACATTTCAAATATGCAAAAGATGCGTTCCCGTTGAAACATATTGGAATGGAGTGGTCAGTGGGTCGCCTTTATTTATATCTGTGAGTGCTTTTATGTATTCGTGAGATTGTGACGCTCCCTGTCAATAAACATGCTCTGCATTTAAATGTCAGCTCTTTGTTAATCCACAGGCGTACGAACACCTCCACGTGCACTAATCGGTCGTTGGAGTTTATTATTTTAAGCATACTTCACTCTCGTGATGTGTGTGGGTCAGTGGAGAGAGAAAGTCCAGAACCGGTTCCGTCATCGTTCACCACTGATGTTAGCCGTGACTATAATCAAACTCAGGTGACCAGATTCATCGCACAGTATGCTACCCGCCGTGTCACTGCTCTAATATCATTGCCGATGCCATAAACATATTTAGCAGTGCTCATTCCCAACGGTGGCCATAATCAAGCGGTGTAAATCCCAAATTACAATGAGAGCTCCGTCATCTTTATAGAAAGGCCAATGTTGGATTCCCACATCGTATTTCCATGTCATCTTCAACAGTGTCTCGCTGATTAAACAGCACGAGACGGTGCTCATCTCGGCCCCAAGGCAGTCATAAACAACCTGACATTCCCATGACAGGGCCCGTCTCTTCGTAAGACAGCCCCGCTGTTGACTTCCCAACAAGGTGGTCCTTCGTTGCCCTTGGAACTATGGCAATGGGCTCAGTCGCCGTCTGAATAGAAGTTAAATTCATGGCCTCAGACGGCCATGAATTCTGTGGCACATTAGGGATGGACCGCTCTTTTAATTATTTCGTCGTGCAGCAATGGAGTAAAGTGTGGTTTTGTGAAGGTCCTTATGTGTTGTGCAGTACATCAATGCACGTGCGTACACCAGCATGCGATACTTATTCTGGCCTGTAGGTGGCTGTCAGGGTTATTGAGTAACCTGACCTCTACACCAGTCACGTGGTTAATGGCGACTCGGTTGAGGATTGCTGTGTGACAATTGCTGTTGCATTTTACAGATTATCACAATAAATGTGTTTGCCCTCGATTTGGAGCACCTGCCCACGTCCTTCATTTCGAGTGGGCAACATATTTTGGCGAGGCTGGCAGGAGAGTTTCCCATAGTTCACTGACGGGGATCAACTCTTACAACGAGACGGACCAAGCAATTGTACGGGCACCATATATCAAGACAGTCGTGTAAGGATCTGAACGGTCTTCACATCATGGCGCTGGAACAGCTGCAGGACAAGGCCAGTGCTGCTTTGAATCAGCTACAGAGAGCCTAGGTCATGGAAACATGCAGATATTTTAAGTGTTTCCATGATGATGAGACTGGTGAAGATAAAAGCAAATGGGCTTTAATTCGTATGGCAGAAAGAGTACTTGATGAAGTTGAAGACCAAGAAGAAGATAATGAGGCCTGTGCATATGTTCAAAACTTGCTGTCTTCATTGAGACAATACAGCAAGAAGACAAAGACAGCAAGGGACCAGGTCAAACACTGCCACCATCAAAAATATCTGAAGATATGGATGATGAAATACAAGAGTCACAAGAAGAATCCAGAAAACCCCTTGAGGAAAAGAAAACGTCAAGTGAAGGTGGAACAAAAACCACAGCACCATTGGATCTCATACGAATTGCCAGACCAGGAAATGTGCCAGAATTCACAATACGGAGATAATTCATACAAATTATCGTGCACCAATCTGATGCACCACATCGACACAGGAATCCGTAAGGCCCATGCCGAGTCTGACAGTAATCAGAGCAATCAGTTCTGGTCTGAAATTGAGGGACAAGTGAGAAATAAAAAACTGATTTGACTATTTCCAAGTTAAAAAACATTTTGAAGGAACACTATACAGAAGAAAGCACATCTGATCTCTATCATAAGTTGATGAATACCTCTCAGGAACCAAGATAATCTGCACAAATTTTTTTGTTCCGAGCTATCGAATTAAAGGACAGACTTATTTCCATCTCAGTAAAAAGCAGCTGATGACCAGTACAATCCAGATTTGGCACGCAGAAAGTTCCTGAGGTCGAAAGACACAGGATTGCTCAGTGACCCTATACAATTCCAAATAAAGCCCCATCTGGATGACATCACTGTCACTGATGATATGCTGATGGAAAAAGTCAATGAAACATCCAGCCTGGAACTTGAGAGATAAAACAAGCTAAAACATACCATTGGTACCTCATTTGCCAGTAAAAAATATGATAATTGGTTTTTTACCCTTTTATCTAGCAACAAAACTGACACCTTTTTTTACGAAAGGCGCATCTGGTCCAACCCATGTGAGACTAGGCTCTAAGGAAAGCTGTCTCGGGTCTGGACCAATCAACTTCAAGGACAGTGCACATTATCAGAGTTATGCTTTTTGTTTGCATTATGACTGCAGGTATTGTGGTCTATGCAAACGTGACTCCTCGTA